GGCGATTCTTTCATTTCTTTCCTGTCGACTCGTTATCTGTCGTTTTTAGTGCGGTTTCCCGCAAACGACCCGGAAGTCGCGACTTCTTTCTCGATCACGACATCCTCCGATCATCCTTCCTCCCCCAGAGCAAGCTTCATTCAGTAACCACCAGATTCCCATTCAAGATGAGCGTCGTCTACGAACCTCGGAATTTCATGCATGATGGCTCGTACCCTCCCATCGGCGACCACGATCACGACCATGTTCTCGATCAGACTGGGCAGTACCAGGCGTCCGACGTCCCGGATCTCGCCTCCTACAATCCGACGTCCTCGATGCTCGGCGACGACCGGTCTCTGATGCCGGACGGTCTTGACGATACCTCCGTCGGCGTCCCAGATGCGACGCGACTCGATCTTTCCGCACCTCCCACTCTTGCGTCCCTTCCTTCGAGTCTTCCTCCGGCGCTTCCCGAGCCCTTGCCATCGAACAACAAGGACGAAGGCGAGACCTCGACTCCTACATCGAGGGTCAAGTGCATACCAAAGCCCGAACGCGAGGTGACGAAACAGCCCGATGGAAAGTTCTACTGCACTTTCCCGGGATGCACGGAGGAGACGCAAATCTTCACTCGGAAATGCGAATGGAGGTAAGTAATGCAAACTCCGAAGCTCTTGCCACTTTGTAATGATGCTGACCAATTCTTTTTCGCAGCAAACACATGGACAAACACGAGCGACCCTACCGATGCGCAGCCGAGGGTTGCGAAAAGCTTCCCGGATTCACCTACTCCGGCGGTCTTCTCCGCCACGAGCGAGAAGTTCACGGCAAGCACGGCGGTCCAAAGAACACTGTCAACTGTCCCCATCCGAATTGCAAGCGCCATACCGGCAAGGGCTTTTCGCGACAAGAAAACCTGAATGAGCATCTCCGACGAGTACACACGAGCGACGGCTCCAGCACGGTCCAAGAAGACATCCAAACCGGTAGTGACGGTGATAGTGACAAGGCCATTGGATTCGGCGCGGGAAACAAGCGAAAGCGCTCCCGAAAGGGCTCTGACGCGGGACTCGACGAGCTGCGCGAGGAGATCAAGCGCGTACGCATGGAGAATGAAGAGCTGCGCCAGCAACTCGACAGACAGGGCCAGCACAGCTTCGCCATGATGTCGCAAATTGCGGAGCTCCAGGATGCGCTGCGGACGAACCTCGATCCGTCCGGGCTCGGCGCTCCCACCGCCACGATGTTGTGACAATCAGAATCAACGCCTGCGCCCCTTCCCGAAAGCGACAGCTTCCTCCCGAACTTCCCGTTACGGCGTTACGACCACACCACCACACCTTGACTCAACACCCAGCGGCCACGACTCACACTCCAGGCTGCCACATTAAACCCCCGCGTCCTCAAATCGACTCGACACCTCACCGCATACACCATCACACCACGTACACACTATTACGACACACGCATCGACGAGGCGTTCTAGGGCAGAAAACTGCTTTTTCATGATCCATACAATTCCGTTTTGTCTCTTTTGGCCATGGTCACACGACGCCGTGTATAGTTTTATCGGCATGGGTAATTCGACAGAAAGGGGAAACCAGGCGTTTTACGGGATAATCAACACTCGACTTTTTTCTTTTCCACGGCTTTCTACGGTGGCGAAGAAAGCCCAAGGACGATGACGACTACTTTTTGATATCCCCCCCTCCCCTTCACTACGCAGAGCGTTGTGCAGAGGGACACAGAAAGAAGGAACAAAAAAAGAAGAGAAATACCACATGTTTTTCCGGAGTTTGCTTTCCACCACTTTTCTTTTCCTCTTGATGGCAAATGGTAGATTGTACATTTCCCCTCTCCTCAACTCACGCCTCCTCCCTTCGCTTCTCAGGTTCTTCTCAGCACCAAACACAAATTTTGTAATTCTACTATCTTGTATTGCGAACGAATAGTCACTTTTTTAAAAGTGTATAGCACCATAGACGGGACGGATGACCTTTGATGATAGCATGGTATCCCCCAACCCCCATAAACTAAGATGAAACTTCTCTTCTCACCCTCCAAGACGATTTGAATTACTTCTTCATTCCGAAATGTGAACTTTTGCTACTGGGTAACTACTATCTGGCAACCTTCAAGGCATAATCTTTGCTGTGTGGTGGACGGGATGACGTAAGTCGATTTGATTTGGGTGCTTTACGCGTGAGGCCAAAAATAAAATTAGGAAGCTGTACACGTTTACCGTGTGAGAAAAGTTGACTAGGGACGCGTTGTCACATGTGGCTTTTGCCTCAGGCAAATCACTGAGGTAGGCATGGCAGGCAGGGGCGTGGTTGCAGAATGCACGAGTGACGATCATCGCCAGCTCAAGTAATAACATCCTTGACTCGCTCGCCCTACCTATTCACAATGCGAAGTGTGCTCTACGAGTATAGCCAAAATGGCAGAATCGGGTGCCAGGCTTGGGTGATCATCACCCAACGTTACGCATCTCTTGATGCAGAATTGAAATTAAGGCAGGAGGGGGAGGGAATGGGGACGGGGATGACTTTTAGAACTCTTATCAAGACGCACGAAAGACTAGGAAGGGCAGAATACGCTTTGTTTGGATATCAATTCAGGTCTACCTGTACTCTTACAAAAAAAAACCCGGGCTCAAGTGGTCGAATCTAGGAAAAGAAAAAGAGTCGTCAAATTCTACACTTGAGACTTGAACCTCTTCTGACGCTTATTTTATGTAGTGGACTTCCTCCCAAGCGTATAAAGCCGGAGGAAAAAAACCACCACATAGAATAAGCGCCAGAAGATATTCAAGGTCTACAAAGTCTAGAATTTTCGACCTCTCAAGCAAAACCTAGTAGTAGACTCTCGCCCAGACGTATGGACACACGAGGAATCTAGGCCTCAAACACATCACCAACGCCCTCGGAGCCGCCCCGCCGGTTCTCGACGAGGTCCAGCCTCCACCCCTCCCAGTTCTTGAGCGTGCGCTTAATCTCCTTGATGCGCTCGAGACGCTTCTTGGCGTCCTCTTCCTGCGCGCGGCGGAACGCGTCCTCGTCAAAGTCCATGTCATCATCGTCGAGGAGCAATTCGTCGTCTCCAGTGCCGGTGAGGGCGTTGATTCCGCTCTGGAAGAAGTCTCCGATGCCACCGCCGGCCCCGGCCTGCTTCCTCTGTGCTGACGGCGACGTGCCCCGGCTCCCGCCGAGGTCCACATTCTCGAAGCTGGGGCTATTGAGCTCGCGGCGCTTCTCCTGCCAATGCCCGTGGCGGAGCTCGTAGACCTCGGCTTCCAGGTCGCGCACCTTCTTCTCGAGGCGCAAGCGCTCCTCGTTCTCGAGCTCGTCGACGCCGTCGTCATCCAGACCACCACCGCCCTCGGTGGATTTACGGCTCCGCAGCCTCGTGTTCTCGCTTTCGAGGCTCTCGACCCGCGCCTTGAGTTCACTGACCTCCTTCTCGGCGCGCTCCTTTTCCTTCCGCAACGTTTGAGTCCGTGAGTCCTGCTCCTTGTGCAGTGTGGTAAGCGTCGTAACCTTCTTCTCCAGACCGTCCGCCTTCTTCTCGGCCTCCAGCCTGGCATCGATCGAGTCAGCGAGATCGTGTTCCAAACTGCGGAGCTTCGTCTCTGCGCTCGTGCGCTCGCTACCCTCACGGACAGCCTTCTCCGCCGTACGGTCAAGGTTCTTCCGCAAGTCGGTGAGTTCTTGCTGTGCCTTGGTGGCGGCCTTTTCAGACCGCGCGAGCTTCTCTTCCAAAGCCGCAATCTGTTCCCTTTCGGAAGACGTGCCGCTGGTCTGGCGATCAACTTGTGCGCGTAGCTTTGATATTTCAATCTCCATCGACTCGATCGTGGCGATCTTGGATGCAAGCTGAGCCTCGAGCTCGGCAGGGGGAGAAGACATCGATACCGAAGGCGATGATCCGTGGCGGCCACCTGCGCGAGAGGCTTGTTGCTGGAGCTGAGAGTTCTGGCGCTGAAGGGCCTCGATTTCGGACTTCTATTTAGCAGCTTTTTAGCAGTCTTTTCAGTAAGGCATGATCTTAAGTTGTAATGCTTACTAGGTTTTCGACTTGGCTGTTTGATCCGCCCTTGCTCTCGCCCTCGGTCTCACGCAGATCAGCCAGCTCCTCCTCGGCCTTCTTCCACCTCCTTTCCGCATCGGTGGAGTCCTTGGCTAGACGCTTGTTCTCCTTCTCGAGCTCCTCTATGCGAGCATGCTGCTTACGGTAGATATCGGTGGCAGTCTCGCCTTCAGGACCCTCCGCGCTGGGCGATAGAGGGCCGTTGCTGGCGGAGACGGACCCTTGTCGGAAGGACGCAGAGCGGAGCTTCGACTGTTGAGCTAGTGAAGGCTGAGATGCGGTAGGTGATCCTGGCTGCTCCGCGACAGCTTGCGCAGCTTCCTTCTCCTTTTCTTTTGTGTCTTCGGTGGCAGGGTCGGCGGGTGTCGTGGGTTCGGCTTCGGCGTCCTTTTCTTTGGAGGCGCTGGGTTCTGCCGCTGTTGACTCGGCCTTTTCCTTCTTCGATGAGCCGGCAGCCTTCTTTGTCTTCTTCTTCTTCAACTCTTCCACCTAGCAAGCTGTGAGTAATAGACCAGTGGTCGCGCCCTGAGTAAACCTACCCTCTTTCTGGCGGCGGCCAGCTTTTCGGCCTTGGCCTTCTCCTCAGCGTCGGCCATGATGGAGGGGACCGGATTCGATTGTGTCGTGAAGAGAAATGGAGCGAATCGTGGAAGTCGTTGCAAAGGCTAGGGCGAAGACGTAGATGTCGTGGGAAGATTGAGTGCGGAATGTAAGGTTGGATTTTGGGTGTGAATTGAATGCTTCAGCCTCGAGCCCAGGAGCTTAGCTGTCCACTCGTGTCAGGAACAAGCCACATTCCACCTGTACTCATCCGTAGTGTTTGTGGTTGACAGGGGGCCACCCCCCTCCAATGACGAAGCCACGCGCAACTGCTGAGCGTGGAGTGTGCTAAACATACAGGGGCCACCCCCTCCTGTTCTGATGAACTCCCTTCTTGCCGTTTGGACGACGTCGAATATTGCTTCAACTTCCAACACCTTATTTCCACCGTGATGAGTTTTGAATTCTCCTAGAAGCCGTCTTCCTCGTTCAATACAGATGCCTTGGCTGCAATATTGGCCCATCTAGATTTTGGAGCCACCACAGATGACCTACCTTTACAGCAGCACCTAGGCATCGACCAGACTAACACCGTCTCGCCACTGGTGATTAGCAGGATGCAATCATTGCTCCAAGTCAAACAACATGTCGTTCATGTCACTCTTATGGATTTTATCGAATGAAAAGACGAATACATCGAAACAATTAATAGCAAAAAGTCAATATATCCCCAAGCGGGCCTGCTGCCGTCTGACCGACGCGACGAACACCCTCCATCCCCCCTGCACATCCTTTGGTCCACCCGTCCGTCGTCTTTCAATGCGTTGGCGCCTTACATCGCCCTCTCAGTGTCCCAATCGCTCAAACCTTTGCTCTCGGGCACCACCTGATTGGCAATTTCTCCCTCGTTTCAACTGCGCCGATGTCCAGTTGGCACCGGCCCAGCGTCCGAAATGGATGCAAGTTGCATCTCGACCCCCAGTGACAGGACCCTGTCGTGCCTGTCTACCTGCCAGCGCGGGAACGCATCGAGCCAGGGGGCAAGGGGGGTTAGAGGGGGTTGAGCGTCTCGTTCGCTCGTTCGTTCCTATGAAGGACGTCCGCCCTGCTCTACAAGGAACGACTTAGCTTATTCAAGATGATTGGAGGTGCCGCGGCAACAAACGACCCAAACACAATTATGCAGCTCAAACATTAAAGCATGTTGAGAGCTGACATGTTCTCCAGAACATGTCCTCCTCAACTCCCGTCCACCCTCTCAGCTTGTGCTGGAGGAAGGGAACAGAGAAACGACGGCAAGGTGCCATGGGGCAGTGTGTATCCAGCAGCAATGCCGGCGCTGGCAGCAGCGATGCCGAGAGGCCTGACGCTCGCTGTCAAACTCCCGGCTGCCAGAGAGTCTGCGATCCAGGGTCCAGATCACGATACTGCGCTCAGCATGCCGTCTGTAGACGGCAGGGATGCGCAAGGCCTCGATACCGCAAGGGCCCATATTGTCAGGAACACCTGTGTAAGTGTTCCACCAGGCTGCTTCGGCCCCTCGACAACGTACGAGTTCTCTCTGACTTCAAGACCAGATACGTGTCGAGTCTCCAGGTGTCCCAATAGCCAAGTCAGACTTCACGATGCGCGATTCACCAACCATTTATGCTGGGACCACCAACCCACCGAAGTGCAGGATGCGTACCTGCTCGGATACATGTTTGGCGGGGAAGATGCCCACGCGGCAAACGCGAACGAGCCTCAGCTACAACAGCAACAACGCAGCAGGCGCAGGCGTTCTCGCCAGAAGCCAAAGTCCACTTCGGCCGGAACGCAACCTACAATTGTAGCCGAACCTCGAGAGCAGGCGTCCGAAGATCCCGCGTCAAGCTCAGATGACGACGATGTTGTGGCCACAGCTCATCAGCTCTCCACAATAGGGGAGGAACCGGAAAGAGAGGACGTCGTGCGCTCAACACGGAAACCTCGACAGGAGAACCCAGAAACAGCGCCGGGAACACCAACCGCTCGTCGCAGCCAGAAGACGGTTCACTTCGCGGACCCTCCCCCTCGAGCCTTCGCCACCGAGAACCCCTCCATCGAGACGGCGGCGGCAGAAGCCTGGGTAGCCGAGCCCCTTTCCTCGTCTACGGCAGCCCGCCTCCGAACCTCCCATCACCGGCGAAGCCTAGACGGACGGTCCGGAAATCGGTCATCGCCAAAGACATCTGGCAGTCTCGCCGCCCCGGCTGCAAGTAACCGCGAGAGGCGTCACAGCACCGGCAGTGCCCCAAAGTCAGCCGACGTCAAGCGGGCAACGAGAACAAGGGCCAGCCGCTGAATCCTGTCCCTTGGGGACGGACAGGACGGAGGCACAGAGGGCCCCTTGCAAATGCTGCACGAACCAAGCTTCGACATTGCGTCACAGCAAAGTCCCATGACACATTGCTCCCACCATATATCCCCTCGTTTCTTTATCGTCCATGGTCATACGAGCCCGCTTTCCTATCACATTTCTTCAGAAATGGCCCCGGTAATCTCTTGGGTGGGGGTCCCATCTGAATGCAGACGCGCAAAGATAGGTAATGGTGCTAAAGATACAGCGTAATTATCTCTCAACGGGCGGTAGAAGAGTTCCACCTCTGAGCGTCGGGCACGGCATTTGGCGGGGTAATGGCGGGGTATGGGCGCGAACAGGGTGCCCAGGTGCTGCAAACTACCTCACGCCGAACCACTGGACCACCACTACCGCCGCAAGCCCACAAGCCCGCCTAGGTACTAACCAAAGCCTCGCCGTCTCTCTTCCTTCCCGTCCCTCCTTCCTTACCTTACTTGCTGATCTTCTACCCAATTCTGTCGCAACTCTCTACTTTATTCAATTCCCTCTCTCGGCATAAGATCGTCTCAGTCTCAAATTTCCAGGTCAGCAACAAGATTCCATCCCCGACCGGCGCAACACATACGCCCGCCCGCCCGCCCGACAGAGCACCAAGCTATCGCCAACAATGGCCTCCCTCCCCTCACAACACCCGTCGCTGGCCCTCCACCTAACAGACCGCGCCCTCAACCCGATCCTGACCTCGGCGCACTCCCAATCCCAACTCGAGGCACTCACCTCCCTGACGACGACCTCTCTGATCGCCCACGCCGCCGCAAACCGCTTCTCCCTCGGCCCCGCACAGCGCATCATCGTCGAGCACGGCCCGGGCAGCCCCGTCGTCCTAGCCTCCTTCCTCAACGGCGCCGATGCCCTACCGAACTCGGGCGGAGAGAGATCCGTCCCTTCAGCGTCAGCCGCGGCCAACAAGTCCTCGTCAAGACCCGTATCTTCTGGCGTTGCCGGCGCGGCCCCGATAGCAGAGTCATCTTCAGCAGCGGGGGCGTCGGCGAGAGCGGTACCCGAGACGGGCAAGCTGGGCGAAGAGCCAGAAAACGCGGCGCCGATGCTGGTCGGCATGGTGGTCGCGGCGACTGGCGAGGAAGCCATGGAGGCGCGCCGCGCCGCGGGTAGACTCGAGAGGGTGGGCAGAGAGTTCCAACGAGAATGGGCGGCCGAAGAAGGGACGGGCGACGCAGACGGCCTTGGTCGTTGAGATACCCCTGCATACATGACGAAGGAGTTTCGCAGTTGAAATTGACTGGCGAACATAAGGGAAATGGTCAGATCGTAACAAAAATGGGCAACAGTGTCCTTGGTGGAAGGTCAATGATGTCCAGAAGGAGGCGTCATCGTGGCCTGGGAAGTCGAGCCGGGGCAGGGCATTTGGTCCTTTCATGAGGGTTACGAGCAACGAGATCATGGTCACATGGAGGACTCGGTATGGAAACCAAATCAGGCTACGGTATGGGGTGGTTAGGCGTACAGGAAAGCGCGAGTTCGCGTTAATCATAATCTTTGGATTTTTGACGGTCTCTCTATATACCGAGTTCATTTTCCCCGTTAAACGTCCGTCATTGCGTTAAAAAATAAATAAGAACAATCGCCAATTAACCAATTTCTACCCATGGATATGAACGCTTTAAATGATCTGCTGGAAAGCACGGTTGAGAGGAGAGCGAACGTTGGGAACGTCCTTCCAGAAGTCGACGGTGGCGACCGCGCGCTTGGCGATGCCCTCGGGGGTGAACTCGAACTTCTACAGAGTGGGTTAGAATGACTGACTGACAAAGATGAGATGGGAGTGATGAACTTGCCTTGTAGACGTCCTTGTAGGGACCGGAAGCACCGAAGCGGTTGATACCGAACTGCTCGTGGGAGTATCTCTCCCAGCCGAGGGTGGACATGACCTCGACGGACATGATGGGCTTGCCGTCGGGGAGGACGGACAGCTTGTAGTCCTTGGGCTGGGCGTCGAAGACCTCTGTGCAGGGCATGGAGACAACGCGGGCAGCGATGTTGTGCTTCTCCTTGAGGTACTTGACGGCGTCAACGCAGATGCAGACCTCGGAACCGGTGGAGACGAGAGTGATGTCGGCGTTGGCGTCCTCGTGCAAGACGTATCCACCCTTGATACCCTTCTCGATGACGGAGCCCTCGAGCTGGGGCAGGTTCTGGCGAGAGAGGGCAATGATGGAGGGGGTGTGCTTGGAGGTCAAGGTGACGTAGTAAGCAGCGCTGGTCTCGTTACCGTCCGCAGGGCGCCAGACCATGTTGTTGGGCAGAGCGCGGAAGTGGGCGAGAGTCTCGATAGGCTGGTGAGTAGGTCCGTCCTCACCAAGACCAATAGAGTCGTGGGTGGCAACCCAGATGGTGCGGATCTGGGACAGGGCGGACAGACGGACGGAGCCGGCGGCGTAGGAGACGAAGTTAAGGAAGGTACCTCCGTAGGGGATGATGGTACCGTAGGCAGCGAGACCGTTCATGATGGCACCCATACCGTGCTCACGGACACCGTAGCGGATGTAGCGACCGGCGTAGCTACCGAGGCCGGTGGCAGGGGCCTGGAAGTCAACAGCCTCCTTCCAACGGGTCAGGTTGGAGCCGGTCAAATCGGCGGAACCACCGACAAGCTCGGGGACGATCTCGTGGATCTTCTGGAGGACGGTCTCGGAAAGCTTACGGGAAGCAATGGCGGGGTCGGCAGGGGTGTAGACGGGCAGAGACTTCTCCCAGCCCTCAGGGAGGTCACCCTTGAGGCGACGGCTGAGGTCCTTGGCCTCGGTGGGGTACTTCTCGCCGTACTTGGCGAAGAGCTTGTTCCACTCCTCTTCGGCAGCGGCGCCCTCGGCGGCGTGCTTGTTGTACAGATCGTAGACCTCCTGGGGGACGGCGAAGGACTGCTCGGGGTTGAAGCCGAACTTCTCCTTGAGCTGCTTGATGTCGTCGGCCTTCAGGGGAGAGCCGTGGACACCGTGGGTGCCCTGCTGGAGGGAGCCGAAGCCAATGGTGGTTCTCAACTTGATGAGAGTGGGCTTGTCCTTGGACTGCTGGGCCTTGGCAATGGCCTTCTCGATGCTGTCGAGGTCGTTGTCACCGTCGTCGACGACGAGGACCTCCCAGCCGAAAGACTCGTATCTCTTGACGACATCCTCAGTGAAGGCGACGTTGGTGTCGCCGTCAATGGAAATGTGGTTGTCGTCGTAGACGGCAATGAGGTTGCCGAGCTGGAGGTGACCAGCCAGGGAAGAGGCCTCACCAGAGACACCCTCCATCAAGCAACCATCACCGAGGAAGGTGTACGTGTAGTTGTCGGACACGTTGAAGCCATCCTTGTTGTAGACAGCAGCGGTGTGAGCCTGGGCAATGGCCAGACCAACAGCGTTGGAGATACCCTGACCGAGAGGGCCGGTGGTGACCTCAATACCGGGGGTGTCGTGAGCCTCGGGGTGACCGGGGGTGATGCTGTCGACCGTCTTTGGGGGCCGTCAGCAAATGGCTCATTTCTCACTCATTGAGTCATGGTCAAACTTACGCGGAACTTCTTGAGGTCGTCGATGGAGACGCCGTAGCCGTAGAGGTGGAGGAGAGCATACTGAAGCATGCAGCCGTGTCCGTTGCTGGGGAAGAGTCAGCCAATGGGGTTCGATTCGTGATTGAGTAGCTTTGGTAAAGTTGTATCAACTTACGAGAGAACGAAGCGGTCACGGTTGAGCCAGTTGGGGTTCTTGGGGTTGAACTTCATGAACTTGTTGAACAGGACGTGAGCGACCGGCGCCATACCCCTAGAGAGTGAATTGGTAAGCTTCTGTCTCCAGATCCATTGTCAAATACGCGTAGTATGGGTGGAAGACGTACATGGGCGCACCGGGGTGGCCGGAGTTGCTGTTGAAGGTGGCATCGACCTGGGAAGCACAGACTCGGTCAGTCTCTTGTCCATTTACAGATTGATGATGAGACGCTTCTCGGAAAGCTCATTGAAGCCGGCCAGCCCATTGCCTGATGACCTCGTCGCAGCATCGTGGATGGTGGTGGTGGTCTCAATGGCGGGGTAACGACAAATCCTCAACGAAGAAGCGCGTAGGCGGGGTAAAAATCTGGCGGGCGGGTGAAACTCACAGCGAGCAGGCGGATCGAGTTGATCGCCTTCCAGTCTTGTTCGGTGTAACCCATGATGTCTGATTTTCTTCCAAGAGTTTTTGATGTAGAACTCGATCAGGGGAAGAAGAAAATGTGATGTGAAGGTGGGAGGGAATTTAAAGGACAGGTCGGAGGAGGAGGAAGAAAAAAGTAGACGGGCGAGAAGGAGTGGGAGAGGAGGTGGTAATGTACCTCAGGTATTCCGATACAAGACAGCAGCACCTTTTGCCTCAGAACGTACCTCAGCAGTCCCGTCACTGCGTATGTCAGCCGGGAAGGTAATTATTGAGCATCTAGTGGGGACCTGACGTGGGCGTGGACAAGGACCGGAGGGGGGGGGGGCACATGGAGGGGTGAAGGGGTGGAGGGGTGGAGGGGCAGAGGGCGGACCAGACACAGACCACTGACGCCGCGGCCGGATTCTCTCGAGAACAACACGACACCAGACGAGACAAGCCACTGGGAGAAGGAGGTCACCACACGGTGGGATGCTTGTTGCCGGGGGGTTCGTTGCTGCCCACTCCAGGCACAAAAGTGAATTGGATTGGCATGAGGATGTTCTGTTTGGATATACTGCACTTTTTCTGGATAACTTAGATTCCAGAAAGGCCACGATACTTGGAGGTACCTCATAATTCAGATAGCTAAGAAGCACGAATATAGGTAGCTCCTCCCCTTGCCAGTGCGGCAGAGGTACATTGGCTCGCTTGGAGCTCTCTCCGTACCTTAAGGTACCTCAGCTTAGGTAGCTTGGCCTTACTGAGAGCTTTTTTGGCGGGATGCCCGGACTCAACATCAGCACCTGCCACGATACCTCGAACATTAAACAGCAGCAGATACTTCACTTGCTCCTGAGTAAGGTACTTACCTGCCTTTGGATAAACTGAGAAAGTCACTCATGTCACTTTTCGGTGTCTTCCACCATCGCCCGTCTTGATCCATCATCCATCTTCACAATCACATGGAGTGGGGGGCTTTTTCCAACGTGTCCCGCATCTCCTTTTTGTCGCATCTCCAGTTTTTGGCCTTGGGAACGGGACACAGCACCTTCAGCTCGTCTCAAGTCTCAACAACCTCGTCGTCCGGCAAAAAAAAAAAGCTGTGGGCTGACTGACTTGCGTCGATTTGTCCCATCTGCTGCCACCTCTTCTTGGCCTCTTCTGGCTTTTTCGCCCCTCCCATTGCCTAGCCACTCATCTTTCTCGTCCTTGTATTGGTGGGCTTTGTCGGCACAACCGTAGACCGCACTCTTTGCCCTCATTATTACCTGTCCATGGTCGACCTGCTTCCATGGACCATTCCAATTCACCCGGCAACCCCTGGAAGACAAAAATGTCCGGCCTTCGACTTTCAATTCCCTCTCTGCCGCATCCCGACCTCGGTGTCCGGGCTATCCCATCTCGACGAATCATACCGCACTCGGCGCACCAGGTTCAACCACATCTGCACACTGCCATCAGCAGCAAGTCCACCGCCATTGGAACACACTCACTCAGCGCCCAAATAGCATATCAACTGTATCACATTTTCGACTGTGACGTATCTTACCCCCATGAACTGACTCTCGATCCCTTCCAGAAGCTCGCTCGTTGCCCGTATTGACTCGCGCGAACAACAGCATCTATGGATCATGGAGACAGTCTGTCGTCATAATGCCCACATAGCACAACCGCCTCACCTGGGTGCCTGGGTCTCCTTCGGTATCTGCCACGACCTGGCAACGTCGGCTTGCCCTTGAGGAGGGTCTTGACTAATCCGTGGAGATGGCTGCATCTTTTGGGTATCTCCGGCCCACCCTATCGCCTCTCCAGTCTTTCCGGCCAGTAGCCTCGCGCTATTTTATTCACTCACGATGTTGCGTCGCCGTCGGCCATAGGCCCAGCGTGTGCCGGACTTTAAGCCTCGTCCAAGCAGATGACCCAGAGAGAGCCAAGCGCCGAAAATATCCTCCCTACGCCCTCCGTCGCCTCCAGTTCTCTCGCTCGCGTTGTTTCAAGCCGGCGACGCGGATAAGCTCTGGCCCCTCCGATAGCACCTGGTCCACCCTGGCATCGCCTGGCTTGACTTCTTTTGCTGAGCATCAGATCCAGTCATGTCAGTGGACCCTGACTGCATGATGACACCCATCGCGTCCCCTATCAATTTTTTTTTTATTCACCGTTCGGTCGCAGGGCCGACTCGCAGGCTGCAGCCTTCTGCTTGTATCCGTAAGCTGTAGCAGCAGCATCAGATACCACAGCCCCTCCGGCCCTTCTGCGGGCGGGCGCCGTCTTTGCATCGAGATGCGCGACATCCGTTGATAATATCAAGGTCAGGACAGGCCAGTATGGAATTCTGTACGGCCAGCGCGGCAGATTCCCGCAGAGGAGGTCAACACGCATCTAGGTAACGGTAGGTGCCCAGGGCTGTTCGATGTGTTTATACCACAAAACATCGATATTCCGACCGACTTTTCACGTCTCCAACGCCTCGGCGTGTCTCAGTACGCGGTACTCGGGGCCGGTGGAAAGTATGCCGCAGACATTCAACGCCGTGATGTTCTATTTTCTGCGCCTCAATGCTTTCCTCTGCGCCGTCCGAGACTCCCACACGCTCTGGGTGATGTGCCCCCCCTCCGGAGCCGGTGAGCACGGGCCATCCGTCTGGGATTCGGCCAGTTTCGTATTTATCCGCGCAAATCAAGGCGGCCGCAGGCCCAAGCTCCCTTCTTCCCTGCGGATGACATCAAGCCACTCCACCCGCATATCCGCCGCTTCAAGCGACGTGTATCCGTTCTCGCCGTTGTTGGTCGAGATTGAGCGGGAGAAGATGCGGAAGATTCTGTGGTTTCGGGTTTCGAGTTATCGCGATTCGAGAGCCATGCTTTGCCTCGTTTTGAGTGAAATGAGGTTAGCCTCAACGGTGCAACTTCGGACACTGGCCGTGGCTAATCGGGCCTTGTATCGCGCTGACCAAGCTTTGATAGATGTATGGTTCAGGCGACGCAAAGAGTTCGACCTTGCTCTTAGCGGTGCACCTGAGGATGATCATCACTCGGCTTCAATGAAGTTGCTTAGCCGTAATACTTTGTGTATTCATATTGAAACCACACGAGCAATGCCTCAGGTGTGTTGTGAGATCTCATCATGAGATTCACATCTACCTTAGTGAGAGGCTCATATGAGCTCGCTCCATGTGCACTAACCTCAAAAGCGGGCAGTGTGGATCCTGCCCGATTGAGTTTTCGCCTCACCCAACTTCATCAACTGCAAGTGAACGTTTTGAAGATACTAGAACAACGTGAGATCGAACGTCTTGATCGTGAAAATCTCATCTTCTGCTTCAGAAGACTCAGAGTAGTACACAGGAAACTGCCACTGTTACCCGCAAGCCAGCATCCCAAACTTTGCCGTCAACGCAATTTTTCTTCATCACTACCCCTCCATTTTTACCCCTCCATCCAAAAATCCTCAACTTCACCTCACAACCTCACAAAGTCATACGCCATCATCGGAAAGTCGACAAGACTTTCACTACAACCGCAACCATGGGCAAAAAAATGAAGGTCGAGCACAACATCCGCGACACATCCCACCACGCCGCAAACTCCAAAAAGGGCAAACCAGCAAAGCAACAAAAGGCCAAGCCCAAGGCTCAACCCGAAGCCTCATCGTCTTCTTCTGCCGCAGCAGCAGACAACACCTCCGCAGACATCCTCCCCCTAACCCACCAACAACGCCTCCTCTCCTCCTTCGCCTCCGCCTTCCAACCCGTCCTCGCGTCCCCGGCCTTTGCTACGATCCTGCAAGAAGTCAAAGCAGCGCTCTACGCCCGCGACTTTGACGCTGCTTTCACTTCGGCCAAGGCGGAGAGTTTGGATGCGTACGCTGCGAGGTGGAGTCCCACCCGATCCCTGGCGTACGCTGTTGTTATGCTGGGTATCGCGGAGCACCTCGAGGGGTTGGAGGTTCAGGTCAAGAAGGCTGAAGATGAGGCTGGAGCTCAGCCTGTAGCTGAAGGAGCTGAGGTGGCTGAAGTGGCCGAGGGTCTCGGAAAGTTGATCGTCGAGGACAAGACGGGTGATACTCCCGGAGATCTGAACTCCTCCTCCACCGACGATCAGGATGCCGTCCCTCCTACTCCTGCTCCTCCCGCAGCGGAGGACGATGCCGTCACCCCTCCACCCACCTCGGAACCATCCGAGACCACCACCAACCCCAAGACGCAAATCAAAAAGGAAATCAAGATCCTCTCCATCGGCGGCGGCGCCGCAGAACTAGCCGCCCTAGCAGCCTACCTCTCCCAACAACCACCCTACCTAAAAGGCACAATCACCCTCCTCGACGCCGCCCCCTGGAACCCCGTCGTCTCCAAACTCCACGCCGCACTCACAGTCCCGCCCCCGGTCTCGCGGTACGCAAACGAAGCCCAAGCCACCGCCGCAGCCCTCGTCGAGCCGGCGGCGCGCCTATCCTCGTCCTTTGCACAGCTCGACGCCCTTGCAATGACACGGGAAGAACTCTCAAACACGCTGGGCGGTACGGATCCAGTACTCGTCACATTACTATTTACCCTCAACGAGCTCTACACCGCCGCCGGCATCGGCAAGACAACCGCCTTCCTCCTCAACCTGACCGCCACCGTGCCCCTCGGCTCCCTTCTCCTCGTCGTCGACAGCCCCGGAAGCTACTCCGAGGCCGCGGTGGGCAAGGAGTCCAAAAAGTACCCCATGCAGTGGCTCATGGACCACACCCTCGTCAACAAGCCCGAAAAGGACGGCGTGTTCCCGGGGTGCCGATGGGAAAAGGTCGAGTCCAACGACTCTGTCTGGTTCCGTCTCGCCGATTCTCTGAATTACCCAATCTCTCTGGAAAATATGCGCTACCAAATGCACCTGTATCGCGCAACGAAACCCTAAAGCAAGAACAAAAAAACGCCCAAAGAAACCGCAATGGTGTGTGTACGAGTGCCAAAGAGAATGCCACCTCATGCCCAGACGAGTCTCTTCAGAGAGTAGCTGATGTGGTCCAGCAATCCAGTGCTTTGCCTCGCCTCCTCTAGCGAAATAATGTCGCCCTTCTCTATGATGCTCTCGGTGCCTGGCTTCTCCTTGCCAGGTTGACTCAAGAACGCCAGCCGTTCTATGTCTGCGCAAATACTGACAACCTGCTGGATCTCGCTGAGCTTGGGTTCTTCACCCGTCACAGCGGCGGACGATTGCGAGTAAGGGGCCTTGAAGGCAAGCTTGCGTACTGGAGGCGCCTTGGGGCGGCCACCGCCCAGCAAACTGCTCAAGGCAGATTGAGGTTGCTGCTGTTGCTTCTGCTGCTGCTGCTCCGACGAGACCGCATCCGTCTTGGTCTTTGTAATACCCAGGTTCGAAAAGGTCCTGGTGTTCGTCCTCGTAACGTCGTTCTTGCCTGGCTGGTACGACACAACGAAGCCAACATTCTTCATCTCGTCCGTCTGCCCAGGGGAGACTGTCGAGATGATGTATGTGCCAAACTTGATACCAACAACATGGGCCAGATCAATTCGCTCAAACGAAGAGACCTTGTCCATGTTCCAATCAAACCGGCAGAGGTACAGGGCAGCGTCCGTCAGAAGCAGTACCACCTCCTCAAAGGGCATGGCTCGTAAGCTATCCGATTGATGGGGGCTGAAGAGGACCCAGCCACCCATGAACTCTTCGCTCTCGTCGGAAATGACGCGCCTTTGCGATAGCTCGATGGCCTGTTCCCTCATCTTCAGCATTGAGACGGCAGGGTCTTTTGTCATCATCTCGGCCTCGAACTCTTGGAAGACCATCGAGTTCACGTTGCCGAGAAGGAAGTCGATGGCAGCTTGGCTGAAGTAGTCATTCACCATGCTAGGTTAGTGGGTTAGCAAAAGTCCAAGATAGACTAGAAAAGCAAAACATCTTACCCATTGTAGTACCGGGTCAAAGAAAGACCAAGATCATTCAATGTGCCCCCAAGGTTCCTCTTCTTCGTTCTTGTGTAGTCACCCTTCATGGCCGCAGTAGATGCATACTGCTTCGACACGGCATCACCGTTGTCCGCCCAGAGAGTGTTGAACCACTGCGTCTGCTGATCAACTTGAGCTGCAAGGTCATAGCCCTCCGCTCTCAGCTGAGACTCCAGCATGAACTTTCCAAACGAACTCTGGCACACGTTTGTCCTGTCAAGACAATCCATACAGTTTGTGCGCAAGACACCCTTTTGTTTTGTGGTGATCTGACCAGCGTCTTCCACTGTGCTTCCGAAACCCTCCAACTTGCCGCGGAGAGTATCGAGAAGCTGACTGACGTTCTCGAACTTCATTCCTTTACAGGCTGAATGGAAATCGAACCATTCAAAACCAACAGTGTCATTTTCACCTTTTGCTTCTTCCTCATTCAACCTCTGTACTGTCTTCTCGTATTGACCACCGACAGTTGCTTCTACGCCATGCTTTTCGACCAGGTTGACAATCTGTAGAAGTCCGTACTCTGTCTTAAGCCGTTCCAGGTGTTTCTTCGTTGCGGCATAGTTCGCTTCGGGCGAGTGTTGAATGACGGGCGCAGGTTTGAGGGAGACGGGCGATTGTGTGAAGAAGAGCGGAATGCTGCCCCGGATTTGAAGGAAAGAGTAAATCTTTGAAGACTTGTCCCACGAAGTGCTCGAAAGAATCTGCTCGGTTTCGACCGCGTTGGCAACATAGCCCTGCTCATCAATGCCTCGTCTCAAGTATCTGAGACCAGCCCTCTGTGTCGAACGGCGAGAAATCACAGTCAAAAGAAACTTCTTCTCGGTAGAGCGCAAATCGATTGAGTCGCGGACTGTCTCCGGCGGGGGAGAAGATAGTTCGGCATCGGGCTGTCTCATAGTCGATAGCTCCACGGAATCCCCGAGGCCTTCATCGTGTTGAGGAGGGCTGCTGTCCACCACGAAGCTTTTCTGGGAAACGAAGCCCTGCATGAGCGGTAGCAACAGAGCATCCTCTCCAGCCTCCATAAATGGCTTTAATGTGTTCTTGTTCCAAAAGAATATCGGGTCTACTCGCTCATGCAGAGGTACTTCATCGGACTGGGCGGTGGAACGGCTCGACCAACGCCGTGTGATGTCGAAGTCGTAAGAAAAGAAGAAGCTTTTGGATGAGCCATAAAAGATCTGGGTCATCCGCAGAAGCTTTGGCAACAGCGTAGATGCCGTTGTCGGCTCGGTGGCCTCGTCAACGGATGGCCGCGGAGGAGCATTCTTGACCGGACTGTGATCAACGGATCGTCGCACTTGGTGCGCGGCTCCGCTCCAGCCTGCTGATCTCTTCTGGTCCTGCGTCCATCCGCTTTTGCTGAACCAGGTCTGCGCGAACCTCCCATAGCTTCCTCTTCTGCCGATAACATCTTTGGCTACGGTGCTCTTCACAGTTTCAAGGTCCTTATCGCTGTCCGTCTTAGCTTCTTGCGCAGGGTCCTCGACTTCATCGCCGCTTGCTGGAAGTTCTATGTAGTCATCACTGTCGCTGTCGTCAGCGTCCTTGTCCGTCTTGCGATCTTGGAGCTCCAAAGCCGTCTTCGCGATAGCTTCTCCAGCTTCTTGCTGCGAAGCACATGGGGTAATGGCGACTTCGGTGACAACATAGATCGGGAAACCGCAGATTTGCGCAACTTGCTGGCGCCGAGTAATTGTGATTAAATAGCTGAGGCGTGAAACTGTGATTAAACCTGCGTTACCCGAGAATCAGCATTGAAGCTGCGACAATTATGGAGTGCAGCTAGAAGCTCGGATGCCGCACCTATAACGCCGAAGGCTTCGAACGAAGAATTTGACTGAGAAAGGTCGGGTATTTGCTCTCGTGGAGCAGGGGTTATTGATGCGTCGCCATATTTGATCCTGACCGGCTGCGCGGGGCGCTGTCCTTTGGTCACAAATGGTTGGATGATAAGGCCGTCTACCGCCGCGCAGATGATGATCTTGCGAGCGATACCGGGCATCTTGCGATTCGGAATGCGATTCGGGGTTAACGCGATGCGCGAGAAGAAATGAAGGGTCTATACGCAATGGAGATGGGCCTGAAACTACACCCAGCAATGCACGAAGAAGAAGTTATTAGATATGTCGGGCCGCAGCATCAACATAGGCGGCGTGTAAAGAGGATGCAGGAGAGAATGGGACGTTGTGCGCGACACGAACTACTGATGATGGCGGGCCAAAAATCGTGCATTTAGCTATGACATGGGTGGTGGGCCGCGGGGTAACGTCAGTGTGCATTTGCTGGGCCAGGTGCTAGTCGCTGAGACAGCGAGCGCAGGTCACGCCTAAGACACCGGCCCGATGAGTGGTTCAGTCTGCTCACTAGACGCCAGGTCTGCATTCGTTCTCATCTACACCGATACTCCCACCATCCAAGGTAAGGTAAAGTGGTAAAGTAAGAAAGCACTCGCCTTGCTCTTCAGCTACCTTAATGGGCTCAGGGGGAGGTGTCAATCAAGTGCAGGTTCCTCCACTAGCTCGTCCCGAGTCAAGCACCGCTAACTGCACAAATTGTGGCCATTGCATATTTGGGATTTTGAGTTTTCGACAATCATCAATTGACAGTTTTCCGGACCGAAACACCTCGCGGGAATCCATTACCAGACAGGCGCATTCGCATAGCTGTTTTCGCAGCCAGTTACCATGCGCTCCGTCGCAATAGCAGAGACCACGAAGAGAATTGGACCCAAGAATAGCTAGTCGACGCCTATCAACAATTCAGACTTTTCCATTCCAAACCATGTTCCAGCACCTCCCAAGATATATCATAATACACTGCCCATTATCCTACGTCGGGGGTATCTTAGATGGCGAGTCTCTCGATCTTGTCTCTGAGGGCGCGGATGGGGCCGGCAAGCTCAGAGCCCTCGTTGGAGGTGATGCTGCAAGCAATGACGGCGCGGGAGACACCGCAGGCACGGCCAAGAGCGGTCTTGGACTTGACGTAAACGTAGGGGACGTTCTTGTCCTCGGAAAGGAGGGGAAGGTGAAGAACAATCGAGAGAGGGTTGGTGTCCGCAGCTGGTCGGCAACATTAGCATTGTTTCGTCAAGATGGTCAATGGAACATACCGAGAATGATGAGCTCAGAGACACCACGGTTGAGGGTCTTGGTGGCCTCGTTGGCGCCCTTCTTCAGCTGGCGGTAGTGCTGGCACTGCTGGACCATGTCCAGGAGCTCTTGCTGGAGAGCATCGTCGGCGAGGGGCCAGGCAGCGGATTCAGACATTGTTGAGAATGTAAGGGGTCGAGTGATGTCTGCAGAACACAATCAGCTATTTGCAACCGATAAGCAGAAAGTCTCAAGACTTACCGATGTTATAGTGCAGGGTTCCTTGCGTTGGCTCGCCCTGGTGGTGAGAAAAAAGATCGGTGAGTGTGCGGTGGTGAACGTGAAGATCCAAAAGTTCAAACTCAGACCGATGAAAAAAAAAATCCCACTTCCCCAAATTTCGACGGCAGATTCCGTGAGGGTGGGGCCTGGCTCCTGCAGCTCGAAGCCAGCCCACCTCGGAGACCACATTTAGCCGGTCTCCGGGCACCGCCTCCTCCTTGTCTTACGTAAGGGCACGGAGCTGTCAACGCGCCGCAAAACCTTGCAACCAACCAGAGGGCCAACCTGGAAACGAGATCTTAACAAGCACACCTCATCTCGAGTAGTCGCCGACGCAGCATCGAACCTCACCCGTCCCAACAACCATCACCGCAATCGTCCCCAACCCAGCTGCCGCCGCATTTCCTTCATTTCCGACTCGTCTCGACGTCTTCTTCGACTTTTTTAGCCAGTCCAAATCCACATAAACCGCCAAAATGCCTTCCGAGCTTTGGTACGTCAACAACATGCTTGTTTGCCCCCATTCACGAGCTCCTATCCATCAATCGAAGCTCCCAACTCCGTCCATTCCGATGCCCAGCTTGCGCAAATAGCTTTCTACTACGTTTCTGAAGCTCATATGCTAACGCGATCATGTCACAGCCCCGTCTATGCGGTTCGTCCTCCCTGTGCCTCCCGAGTCATCCATGACGTCGCCCCCTTCCTACCTAGGATGAGCCATTTGGGCATCATTCGACATCGCGTCCACGACATCGCTAACATGCTATAGCCCTTCTTCGGAGCCATGGGTTGCACCGTCGCCATCGTCTTCACCTGCCTGGGTGCCTCTTACGGTACCGCAAAGTCCGGTGTCGGTATCTCGGCTATGGGTGTCCTCCGCCCTGACCTGATCGTCAAGAGTACGAACCAGCATCCACAATCGAAGACCATGCATGCATGGTCTACCTGCATCGACATTTGCTAACTACTACTATAGACATTGTTCCCGTCATTATGGCTGGTATCATTGCTATTTACGGTCTCGTCGTTTCCGTGCTTATCTCCGACGGGCTTCAGCAGGAGATGGCCCTGTACACTGGATTCATTCAGTTCGGTGCTGGTCTCTCTGTCGGTCTTGCTGGTCTTGCTGCTGGTTTCGCCATTGGTATCGTCGGTGATGCTGGTGTCCGTGGAACTGCTCAACAGCCCCGTCTCTTCGTCGGCATGATTCTGATTCTCATTTTCGCCGAAGTTTTGGGTACGCCATTTCGCCCCCCGATAGTAGACGCGCTGTTTACTGACATGATTGTCTCTAGGTCTTTACGGCTTGATTGTCGCCCTTCTCATGAACTCCAAGGCCACCCAGGACGTCACCTGCTAAGCGACGACACCAACACGACGAATGCTCGGTTGAACGGTTGACAAGATGTACTTAAGCCACAACTTGCACGGGCATCACTGCCACAGGGCGGACAAATATCATCAGCAGGCGCGTCGAAAACTCGAATCAAAGGTTTAAAGGCATAGGCGTGGGAACGGTCAAGGGTCACGAAATGCCATGTTTGGGACGATCGGGGACTGCTTCGATCACGGATCAAACGTATATGTACTATTTTGCCATCAAGGTATGCTATCCATTCAGGGGCGATTGCTCAGCATAGACATCGGTGATGGGAGAACGGAATTGTAGTCTAGGTTGCGACAATGTGTTTTTTTATGCGTCTATTATTTTGTTAAAGTTCCCGCACCCTTTGCCTGTCCAGTGTGACACTCGGTGATACTTGCCTGAATATTGCCCTGTAGTTCGTATTTACTACCGACGAAACCCAACACGAATGAGGTGGACTGGAAATGTGAGACTACGATTTCCAGACAATTGCCACAAGTCGTAGGCGAGAAACATTGACCAAATTGCATCCATGTTCTCTATGAACCACCTCAAGATGCTTGACCTGGTACCGACACCTAGAGGGGCTTTGGCAAGACGAATGCAGTCGAATTAATAGTGACATACTCCTGTGGGGAAGCATCATCTAGGCTGAGTAATGGAGTGTGAAGCTACCAGCAGGAATGCTGAACTCACTCTATTCTCAGTAACATTCGGATACAAGCGCCCCATTACACATGTCGACATCATCACCTTGCCTCCATATGCCATTATTATATTCATCATCTCTTTTTGGAATGAAACAACCATGACAGACAACCTTGAGGGTAGACACATATGAAGGAAAGTTGTGCCTTATCCTTACCACTTAAACATCTGGGCCTAAAGGTGCCTTGCCTCAGCTTAACCTGCATATACCTTGAAGGTCTGCTTCGACTTAACTAGAGTTCACTGGGAGGCATACACGCAAAACTGTCACTTTGCCATTGGGGTTCTGTCTCTTTGGATAGATGTTTCATTTTACTCATTTTACTCGATTTCAGAGGACAGCGTGCCTAATAAAACGCTGCCCCCACGTGACAAAGAAAGCCGCGGTGATGTCAAACAACAAGGCACCGCTTCTGTTATATAATTACAAGTCTTTATGCCAACCATGTCTTCTCGCACATGATACCGGCAATTTTCTTTTTTCCCCATTCGTTTACCATTACCCCTTGCCGTTGCTCATGGTATTGAAACCAGCCGGCTACCGGCTCCAGGTGAAGAAGCGGATTATGTACAGACAGAAATGGCCCGATGGCCGTGGCATAAAACGCCTAATTTTGTGAGGGTTTGGTGGAATCGTCACTTAGACGACATACTGTATGGGAGTTATTCATCGGCTTTTGTCCATTACAGCGGAAATAGGAAGACTTACGGGAATGAAGAGGTAGGGAACCTCGCGTTCGTACTGGGCCCAAGCATCACCGTACTTCTGGCGGCAGCGGTGGATGTCACGGGCAGCACGGTGGGCAATCATGCCGCAGAAGAAGACGGGGTAGAACCAGGGGAAGGGGCTCTTGAAGCCGGTGATCAGACCCCAGCAGATGGCGAAGAAGGCATCGCACGTGTAGTGGATCTTGCGGGCATAGCCGTACCAGCCGTCAGCGAGGATGGCATCGCCTTTGTCCGAGGTAATGGTCTTGGGGTTCTTGACCGTCTGCCACGGGAGCTGGGGGAAGGTCTTGCGGGCGACGAGCTGGCCGCGCTCCTGGGCTCGGAAGCCGTTCTTCTGGCTGTTGGTGGTGTCCCAGATCCAGTAGATGAATAGGTAGGAGACGAAGAGGAAACCGAGCGCGAAGGGGTTCCACTTGTACTCGGAAGGGTGGTGGTTGGACAGGAAGATGGTGCAGTGGCAGTACGAGAGAGGGACGCCGGCAAGGTTCCAGAAGATGAGCATGAAGCCCCACTTCTCGTAGTACATATCCCAGGTCGGGACGATGAGCTGCTCGCCCTTGGCGCAGGCATTGGCGTAAAGGTAGTGGGCCATGACCAGGAAGAGCACTTCGCCGGAGACGTAGCCGTACTTCTCATATTGGCGGGCGGCAGCGCCGCAGCTGAGACCGAAGAGGATGAACCAGGGGATGCGGACCTCGAAGAACATCTTGAAGTCCAAGATGCCAAACATGCGGGGGTTCAGCTCGGCACCAAGGAAGAAATCGTAGATGGGGTAGCCGGTCATGCGGTGCTGGACACCTCTCCAGAGGGCGGAGAAGTAGGCAGCAAAAGCCACGAGGAAGCCACTGAGGATGGCCACAGACATCAGGGGGCCAAACTCGTCGAGGAAGGTGTAGAGGGGGAAGAACCCAGTGAAGTGAAGCACGGCCATGACAGCAATCGTGAAGTAGAAGCTGACGTAGGCGTTGCAGAAGTACTTGAGCTGCTTGCCGTTCTCGTGAGCAAGAGGCTTGCCCCAAGCCCAGACACCAGGCAGCACGCAGTAGCAGATACCCTCGAAGGTGAAGAAGGTCCAGTAGATGCGCCAGGCACGCAGGGAGGGGAATGCACCAGTGTAGACAAGGTCCACGAGATGACGGCCAAACTCGCCCCAGCTCTGTCCCTCCTCACGGGTAGGAACGCCGCCGCCGTAGTAGGTGGCTCCAATCCACATGTACCACATGAGCAGAGGAAAGCCGATCATCAGCGACATGGTGCCAATGCTGCCTCCGAACTCGAACTCGCCCGAGGCATCAATCTTGGGATCCGTACCGACCTCCCAGCCATCAATGATGTTGCCCTTCTTGTAGGTCGGCTGGGCATCCTCGGGAGTGGCGGCGTGGCCGTTGCCATTGGCCGCGGTCTCAACCTTCACCTGGGCGTACCCATTGCTGTGGCCATTGGCGATGGGCTCCTCCTTGACATGTCCATTGGTGTATCCGTTGGCGTGGCCGTTGGTGTGGCCATTGGTCAAAGATTCGTCAAAGTCGGCCTTGTCGTTCGCTGATGTCGACTCTGCCTCATCGTCGAGCTCCTCGCGGAACTTTCCCGTGGTGCGTCGTCTTGGGGCACGGGGTTGCGACTTCGATTCGGTAACCTCTGCGCCGGTGGTGGGCTCGGGGGACTTGCGTCTAGAAGAAACACGCCGAGGGGTCTCAACCATGCCCTCAAAGAGCTCCTTCTTCCTGTTCGGTGGGTTAGCATAGGTAAGAGGAAGGTTGTTCGCTAGAGTATTGACCCATTGGAAGAGGAAACGTGAGCGGCCATGGTTGCGGTTTGCGACAAGCGTGGCAACAAGGAATGCGCCAGAGAGTCGTTTGGGATATCCGCAGCAGATCTAATTGCTTCAAATGATGGTCCCAGACTAGGGAGAGAAAGAAGAAAATCACAATTCGACTGACCTAGGAGTCTGGCGCAATGAGTATCTGCCCGTCATGATGGCTGCTTCTTTTATACAGAATACCAGAAATCTTCAGCGTGGGGTCATGCACCTCTCGTGTAGCTGAGCTGGAGGCCAGAGTCCGTGTGACTGTCGGCGGCCGGGGTTCGAGGATGGGATTGTTCAGCAGCAACGATGTTCGTCCAAGGTCCAAGGCATAGGAAATCGGAGGACTTGGAGGCGGTCTGGGACGGAGAATCCGAGTACGACCAGACGAGGCGTCGAGGGGTGGCGTGCAGGACGGGAAGACAAGAGACTCAGACCCGGACGGCTTCACGTCAAACTTGGTAGTGTGTCCTCGGATTTCGATTGGGCCCTTGCCGCCTGCCTACTGCCACTCAAAATTTTGTTGACATTTGTGTTTGCCCCCTTTCTGCCGGTAGTCAAGGGTCACGAACAGTGTTGAAATTGGAGGTACTTGGTTTTGTGCGGTACCTACGCCTTTACGAAAGGTACCGACTCTAACCTTCTCGGGAGCTTCCTCGGCTGTAGGGGACCCGCATATGCACCTTTCGTCTAGACGACCCGCCAATAAGAAGCTTGATTTTGCCTCAATTAAGATCCGGTCATCAAAGATTCCGAACTTTGGGCCACCCGTTGCCGCCCTGCTAGACGAAGCTCGCTGCTGCACTTGAACCATGCGGCACCCGCCTGAGCTGACGGCGCATATCGATCGATGGTTGCCCTGCACTTTGAAGCTCCAAATCTCCGAGCAGAGCTCCCCTTTTACAATTGCTAGACGATGTCTGCATGACATGCATTGCTGGTCAGGATTCGGCCAGGATCGATGTTCAAGCCTTGTCGGACTGGGCGGTCATTTGGACTCCCCGGATTTCCGTCACGCGACGACGGAACTCAGGAACGACAGGGGTCTCCTTGATATAAGCTCAAGTTGTACCGGAAACTGCTGGCTCCCTCTTCGAAAATTGACGGCAACATCTGTAGATTATCATATGATGGACACCTTAGCCTAGAACTTGCTTGCCGCAGATCGCAATGGAGACAGACTTGTCAAGCGCATCATGATATCAAGATACATCTACGGCTGCTCGCGTGTGAAATCGCCGGTAGTGACAAGCCATCGCGAGCAAAGAGACCATCTAGATGTCTGGGACGGGCACGCTGCGATTTCCCTCATCCAGCAACCTTGATATCATCATTAATCTGCTCTGTATGGACACGAAGAAATCGGGCCAACAAGACTGCATATGTACGCTGAGCAAGGAGAAGCAACGAGTCCATATGGCCAAGTCAAGCTTTCAAGCTTGACCAACATGCCATCTAAGCCCTGATTATCACCTATGCGCTTCGAATGAGGTAGCTCGCCGTAGATCAAAGTATGCCCATGCAGAACGCAAAAGAAACATGCTGCCTGAGTCATCATCAAAGTCCTGCCTCTCGAATGAAGGCATCAATTCGCAGCATCGTGAAGCTCTTGCTGAGGCATCAACTTTAGGCAGGACGGCTCAGCGATACGTACCTGTACGTACTGCACAGCGAAAATTTGGCCTCAATTTGTCCACGGGTACGTACTCTTACTGATTGTGCGCACTGCACAGACCAGCCCACGAATCTATATAATCCCCTCCACCCACCATGCTTTTGCCTGTTTTCTTCTTTTCTCCTTAGCTCTTCTTTGCCTTTTGGCTTAGATCAAGTGTAGTATCTGTTCTTTTCAGTTTAATCTCTGAAAGATGCCTATTGGCATCACATTGATTATTCCTATTTTTGATCTCTAGGAGATGGACCTCTGCGGCTTGCCGTATGCCCTCTCCACCGTGTCCCTGGTATTTCACTGCCTCCAGGCGACGCAACCCTCTGATCTTTCATTGCTCTGTCTGGCTTGCCCAGGCTTGTGAAGAAGGTGTCTAATTACTTCCTCAGTGTGTTGATGTTAATCTTGTTTGATAAGATGTTCCAATATCGTTGCCTTGGTCTGTTTCGTCGCGCCAATGCTGAAGGTCGAATGTAGTTCTCCGTATTGGGCGAGCTCTGCTCCAATTGTCAAGCCTGACCGCCTTCCATTTGCATGATTTTCAAGGTTCCTCACGTCTACGGCCATTAATGACATCGTGAAGCGTCCCAAACTGCCAGTAAATTATTGAACTTCTTAAGCCGTGGCGAGTTATTCATTTGCCAGCAAAAATCAGTCACCGTCGTAAGTAAAACTCTGATTATTATTTTCTCGGTCGCCTTCTCCAGCGTGACGACGTCACAAATCGCGGGGCTCTTTCCATCTGCCAAATTCAAAACTCACCACCAAATCGTTGTTGCTTCAAAGGTGACTGGAGGATACCGAACAAATCGTGCGGAGGCTGCCGATCGAATTTTTTGGCTTGAAATCAATCGCTATTATTGCACCGTCGCTCACACATCTCCCAGATCCCAATTCACAGCCGCTCAGACAAACACTTCACCATGGATAACGACACCAACATGGTTGAGGTCCCGGCCTCCCGCCTGCTTGACCCCCAAATCTTTGAGCACCTCAAGAACAAGATCGAAGAAGACCAGGAAGTCCGTGACCAGATGAGTCAGACAGTCCAGAAGCTCGACAGGGCCATCTCCTACGTCCAGGGTCTGCTCTCGCGCATCCACGCCACCCCGCGTGAACAGTGTGAGTCCTCAATCATCGGCTGTTGGGCACGTCTGCAGTCGCCCGTATTCACCTGCGACTGACGTGTATTTCTAGACGGCCCCTTGCTGGCTGACGTCCAGGCGGGCATCCAGAAGGAAATCGAGGTCATTGGAGAGCTCCAAGAAATCGCCTCCAAGCACCCATACTACAAGTAGGCATCCATCTCATGCCGCCTAGGCAACATTCTCTGACTCCTCCTCGCTAGGTACAACCAGAAGTGGAACCGTCAAGTACAGAACGCCATCTTCACCGTCCTTCTTGCTGGGTGGTTGGGCGGCCTCACATCAGATGGCAAGCCCGGCCCCATCGCCCGTCTCCTGACGCTCGAGGAAGTCGGCGAGATCTTCAAAGGTGCTACCCCAAGGCTGCCTTCCAGGCAACCACGGCCACCTTGCGCTAACCATCGGCAGTCCCTGTTAACCTCAAGGACCGAGACGCCTTCCACCTCACCATCGAGGAGTACCTCCTCGCGCTCACCGATCTGACCTCGGAGCTCTCCCGCCTCGCCACCAACGCCGTCACCCTCGCCGACTTTTCCATGCCCGTCGAGATCAGCAGTTTCGTCAAGGACCTGTTTGCCGGGTTCCAGCTGCTCAACCTCAAGAACGACATCCTCCGCAAGCGCGTCGATGCGGTCAAGTATGATGTCAAGCGTGTCGAGGATGTCGTGTACGACCTTTCGCTGCGCAACCTGATTCCGCAGAAGAAGGAGACTGCTGTTGAGCCTAAGGCCTAGGAATAATCAGAGACGCACATCAAAAGCAGATTTGGTGAACCTGTTTCTCCAGCCGCCTCTAAAATGAGATGAGTCGTTGTCTTTTTGGTCCTATGATTAGGATGAGGAGGTCGCCTTGAACGCGATGCTCCAAGAAATGCGGGTAGAATTCAAGAATGCTTGTTGATGATTCACGAATGATCTTTTCTGATCTTCTCGGGCCGGGGAGAGCTCTCTACGACATATGCTTGATGTGTTTCTCTACTGCGAAAGCCAGGACTCTATGGCCTCCTTCCATCTTTACCCTGCTATATGTTGGTACGATTCAACGTACAACGGTTCAGCGTCCCGGAGCATTTGTTCTTGGGGCATGAAATACCCAGCACCGAATGCTTCTCGCTAGAATCTTGAAGAAAAAAATCCATTTGCTGCAAAAAATGTGTTCGTGCTGCTAACACCATGGACCATCAAGTTGATCTGACGCTCGCGGAAAGTAGACCCTTGGACGACTTGAATAGGAAGGGTTGACCTTGCCGTTCCCTAACGAGGAAGCCTCCAGTCAATTGCGTTGACCAATGCACATCTCTGCAGAAGCTCATGAGGTTGGTAGATCATTTCTTCCACTTCCTCCGTTTGTCCCTTGCTGGCCAGCAGGGCAGGGTGGGTCACGGGCTAGTGTGGGCCCCCTCAGTCGAACAGTACATATATATATGTGCTCGGCCGCTCAAACTCCAACCAACTATCACTGGATGTCAACATCCACCAATCCCCGATAGTCTAGTGGTGAGGATATCTGCTTGTCATTGAAATTCAACGATTCGCAGGGGACCGGGGTTCAATTCCCCGTCGAGGAGTTGTTTTTTTCGCCTTTTGCATCAATCGCAGATGATTTCTGAAGCTGGATCAATTTTTTTCAATTTTGTTCAAAAAGATTGCGAAAAGGACGCAGTGCGCGGGTTGTGGGTGCGAATCCGCAATGTCGACGGTGGTCGGCAACGTCAACGTCGGACGGGCAGGATGCAAGTCGTCGGCTTGCTACAAGCGACGCAAACCTCAATGGACATTTGGCAAAAGGATCAAGCATCTATTGTATCATTTTATCAATTCTATCGCAGGCTATGCTCTAAAAACGTTCTCTTCCTCACGAATAGTAAAACACATTCCCCTCCATCAGCCTCCGCGCAGTCCTCGTCACTACACATCGATCGACCGCAAGCCCCTCTCCTTCCTCGCGAGCCCAGACCTCTACCTCCATGATCCCACTGCCGTGCTGTATGCTAATGGTGCGTTGACATAGTATCTCTTACATCAAGACATTACTAGAGTCTTCAAGGAAGAGAAGGTATAAGTCAAGGAGTATTTAGCGAGCCCCTTGGAATCCATGCATTCTTCAATCGTTGCGCCTCCTGTTCAACTACACTTATCCCCTCATTCGTACCAACTTCAGGAACTCGTGATCAGGTCTGGCCTAGTCTTTTGTTTCTGGTGAACACTTCTATCTTTCGAGAGACATGACTCATGAGACTGGCTCGAGGTTACTGGAGGCAAGTTGAATACGGATGAGTCGTACACAGCTGCAGGCAGCAACACAGCAGAAGGCGCAGTGGCGACGCGGGAGACGGGAACAGTAGAAAGGCGAGAGGGTGTATTAGGGAAAGTCGGCATTCCTAGATACACTTGGATTCACTGTTATCTGCTACGTGAAAGAACCCCCCGCCGTGTCGAATCCACTAGCCGACTTCCCGCGGGAACAGGCCGCTTAGTCGCGTTCCCGTCTCACCCTTGCACGGATCATGAACGATGTTGACGCGGGGTAGTCTGAGTCCCCGGATTGCCCAAGTTTCCTAGACAAGCTCATAGATAGACTCGTTCACCAGTCTTCGTCGTATAAGTATAAAGCTATGTCACAGGCCGAAGGAATGAGAAATAGCAGAAAGTCAACGACATCAACCGCGGTCGTTGACAGTTTCTAGCTTCTGCAAATTTGGCCTTTCCTCACCACCACTTCTTCCAAGAAAGCAATCATGGTATCCAACGATGACAGTCGAGCGGTAGAACGTGCTGGCAAAGATGTCACCAAGTGTCAAGAGCTTGAGGACCCCACCAAGTCTTCTGATCTCTCAGAGGAGAAGCTTGACCAGCAATACGACACAACCCCCAGAGATATCCAGAACCGTTTCGAACATCTCCGATAATTGAGCGATAACGAAATGGCAAAGCTGAACAAGAGCGTTGTACGAAAGATCGACTTGAGAATGATGCCTTGCATAACACTCATGTTTCTCATGAGGCAAGTCAAGCACTGATGGGGGTTCAACTAAGCGGCCATCAACTAACACGATATCAACTCCTTAGCTATCTCGACCGCATCAATGTTTCCAACGCAAGACTAAGTGGGATGCAGGATAACCTCCACATGTCAGACACCATGTGGAACTTGGGTATCTCAACCTTTTACATCGGTTATCTCATTGGGCAATTGCCTGGCAACTTGTGGTTGGCTAAGGCAAACCCAAGATGGTTTCTACCCTCAACCATGATAGCTTGGGGAGCGGCAACCATTTGCACTCCCGCCCTCAAGAGGTAAGTGAGATATTTAGACAGATAACACGCATGAGGTGTACTGACTCTCAATTCTAGTGGTGCCGGTTTCGCCGCTCTGCGATTCTTCACCGGTCTGGCTGAAGCGCCATTCTTTCCGGGCATAACTCTGAGTAAGAGCAACATCATCTCCCACAATAGCTAGCATTAGATCATTGCTGACGTTGTCTAGTGACATCCTCCTGGTATACCAAGGAGGAAAGTCCTCTCAGGATGGCCATTTGGCATGCGGGAAACACCATATCCAACATAATCTCAGGCTTCCTTGCGGCAGGAATTCTCACTACAATGGGTGGTGTCTCGGGTCTATATTCCTGGCAGTGGTTCTTCCTCATCGAAGGCATCATAACATTCCTGGTGGCTTTCTCTGCGTTCGTGCTGCTGCCAGACTGGCCCCACAACACGCGTTTCCTGACTCCTGAGGAGAGAGATATGGCGCAGTACCGTTTTCTGTGCTCCAATGGAGGCAAGGAGGAAGATACAGGAGGCACCTTAGACGGTCTCAGAGACGCCGTCAAAGATCCTTTCACCTGGATTTTCTGCCTGTTACACTTCTCCCTGGTTACGGCCCAAAGTTTCAAAGACTTTTTCCCATCGGTAAGCTAGTCCCCGGTTCAGCAAGTGTAATCTTGAGTTACAAAGTAGACACAACTGACCTTGCCTAGATCGTCAACACCTTCGACTTTGGTGAGCTTACAACATACTTCATCCAGGCTCCCCCATATGCATTCGCTTTCATGTTTTCCTACGCCGTTGCCTGGTCCTCAGGTCGAAACCAAGAGTCTTTCTGGCACATAGTCCTGCCTACAGTTGTCAGTGCGGTCGGCTGTGCAATCCTGATATCAACCATAAACGTTGGAGCTCGCTACTTTGGTCTTTTCCTCCTTATTTCTGGCACGTACAGCGGCCTAAACTTACAATTGTCGTGGGAAACGACTGTCGTCCCCGCCCCTCGAAGCAAGAGGGCCGCTCTGATTGCAATTACAAACTGCATCAGCCAAGTCAGCCACTGGTTCAGTCCCTACTTCTGGCCGCGTTCGCAAGAGCCGTTCTACAGACTAGGTGGCGGTCTTGTACTGGTGGGTTGTGGTCTGGTTGTAACGTCAGCTGGCCTGGCAAAGTGGCGTGCGATTCGACTGAATAAGAAATTGGATGAAGCTGAGGGCTACCCAGAGAACTCGGGGATCGAAAGGGTTTGGAGATATGCGCGCTGAGAGAAGCATGAGATTACGAACGAGCCAGTATTGTTACTTTTGCTCTCCCATGTATGTGTCTCTGGGGTTCCTGAGCCGAACATAATCCAGTCTGCAATTTCAAGAGTAATCAAGCAGCCCACAGCTGTATCATACTTCGCAAGGGGTGGTCGACTCACAAATCATCGATGATGGAAGCGTTGAGATCGCCAGCTGCAGGTGTTATTGATCATGCAGGGGTTCGGCAAAAATTGGCAAAATGTCAAACCAACTGAGACGACTGTCGCATTAGCTGCATTGTGTCTGCATACAGTCGTCTAAAGCTTCCCCGCCCCTCTCTTTGGTTCAGAACGTTCACCTCTCAGGCCATCAAATACCGCAGCCGTAAGCCATGTGGCTCATCGACACCGAGACTCTGAGGCTTCATGCCTTCGTGCCTCCAGACCTCCCACCGTACGCCATACTATCTCACACCTGGGGACTCGGAGAGGTTTCTTTCCAGGAATTTTCAGATCTCACTGCCGCCAAGGAAAAGCCGGCTACACCAAGATCCAGAGGACATGCGAGCTCGCCAGGAGAAATGGTCTGGGATGGGCATGGGTGGACACTTGCTGCATCGACAAGTCCTCAAGTGCCGAGCTCTCAGAGGCGATCAACTCAATGTTCGAGTGGTACGAGCTCTCAGCCATCTGCTTCGCCCATCTTGCAGATCTGCCCGTTGAGTCCCCCATGCTGTGGATGTCCGAGTCTGGCATGTCTAAGCGTGCGTGTCGCTGGTTCGAACGTGGGTGGACCCTCCAAGAGCTCATTGCGCCCAAGACGCTGGAGTTCTTTGACCGTGAATGGAACTCGCGTGGTTTTAAGACCGAAAGCTCCGTCCTGCGTCAACTGTCTGCGATGACCGGGATACAGGGCAAGACTGCCCGAGTAATGAAGAACAGCGCGGAAATCACCGAGGTTTCCATTGCGGAGAGAATGTCTTGGGCGTCAAAAAGGCGGACAACCCGGGTCGAAGACATGGCCCACTGCTTACTTGGTCTCTTCCGCGTCAATATGCCCTTGCTCTATGGCGAGGGGTCGCGAGCTTTCATGCGGCTTCAAGAGGAGATTCTAAAGAACAGTACCGACATGTCCCTCTTCTGCTGGACTGCGCCACAGGAAGCCTCCCAGTCGTACCGCGGATTACTGGCCCGCCATCCCTCGGAGTTTGCGTCATGGTACCATACAGAATCCACCTCACGAAAGTCCATCAGCTGGGCTATGTGCGAGCAAGAGAAGGAGTTTTCCTCGACCAATAAGGGAGTTCGCATGGATGTAACCTTGGCGAGTTTATTTGTTCACGGCGTGAACAGAACGTGTCTGAAATGCACACTGTTCCCAGATGATTACGTCGTCTTCATACCGCTTCGATACCACCGGGACAATATCTACGTCAGAGAGCTTCCTACCATCATCATTTCTTCACACATAACACGGCACGAGCAAGAAACCATATACATCGCCAAGGACGTGGATGAACGTATGTCGACAAATCTACAGGCTAAGGTAGCGGAGGTTTTGAGCATCGACAGATCCCTACTTCCGGCCAACTTCTCGTTGGAGGTAACCGAGACCTGGCCCAAGAACCTGTGGCTGCCACAGCGGCAGCGGTATGCCCTGCCCGAATCAAAACTATTTTATTGCATCACATCATACAGCGTCTATTTTGGGACTGTCGAGGTCGGCGACGTATGTCTCATCTGCCAGCGGCACTCTTCTGCCTTGCAGCCTTTGCGTTACGCCTTGATTCCTTTGCAAGAAGCAACTGGCAGTGCTGGCATTTTGTCGCAAATTAGAGACCACGATATCAGTAACGCGAGGGCACAGCCTGTTGAGGCTCTCAGTCTGATGGAGCAATTCATTATTGATGGTCGCCAGGCAGTAGAACTTTCGCATGGAGACCTCAGTTTCTCACTTTTTGTCACGCGATACTCTGAGACCGAGGAGAGTGCCAACACACTGTTTTTGAAGGTGACTTCTTCCCAGGACCTTCTCCATCCATTACCTATCAAGAAAAGGAAGACAATATCGATCGGTGATAGTGAGGGACCTGGCCATCGCCTCGAACGTGCTCCTCAGATAGGAGGGGATGGTGCCGTGGTGCAGCCACCGAACCCATCCGATATCGCGGAAGCGGAGCGGGAAAACTCAACATAAATCAACTTGGGCATATGTACTATTCACAGATAATTACTTGGAAGCATGTACTCTGACATACGGTAATGCGAATTTCCATACAGTCACTCTAGCATGACAGCCATCCAAACCATCATTCCAAACTCATCGAGACCCTCGCACCACTTTGCGACTCGAGACACAAGATGTTCCTCCTGGCTTCGATCTCCAGAGTCCACTCCCAGAGCCCGTCTAGCCTTTCGAAGGTCCTGGATGCTCAGGACCTTTTCATCGTCAGACTCGGCTCGTATCCTCCTGTATCTTGCAGTCCACTCATCACCAGACACAGCCTCCCATAGATCTCTCCCCGAGGGCAGTGGCAAGAGACTATAGCCACCGCAGTCCGCCGGTTCCTCGGCGTTCAGGTCTACGTCCATCAAAAGCTCAATGCCAAATAAAAGGCAGATTGTCCTTGAGTCCCTCCAGTTAGCAAAAATTCTCAGAATGACACGATCTATCAAAACCTGCCTCCTGGTACTCTCGCGGAGGACCCAGCCTCGACGGTCCAACTTGAGCCTCTTGGCCAGGTCGAGCTCGTAATCTAGTGTCATGTGCAGCGATCTGGCTAACAGCTACTTGAGTCAGTAAGAACACTGGGCTGTCTCCTGGCATCTTACATTGGGCACTACTAGTAGCGCTTTGATGTCGTGTTCTGGTATTGATTGGAGGTCATTTGCTTGGAGCAGCAGATATATGACCACGGCCTGGAGAGCTTGTAACAGTTGTTCGCAGTCATAGGAAGAATGCTTTTCAAACCAAACGTTAGCCAGTGAGACGACAACTCGTTGTTGGATGTGAATCTCCCACCTCACGCCTGATCCTGCCTACTTCACTGTAGATACTCCTCCACACAAAAGCAGCACTTCCTGGAGTCCTCTGATCGAAGCTTTGAACGAGGTTGCAACAGATGGCTAGCGGTTCTGGAAGGCACTGGTGAAGCTTCTTGCCGCAACACCGAGTTGTTGACGCCGATCCGTCGATGACACAGGGTGGGAAAATGAAAGGCGGCAGCCGACCACCCTTGACCATCATAATCGGATAACACAGTATCTGGCCGAGGAGCACTCTGGCTGTGAAACATGTTGCCACGGTTTTAGTGATTCGTGGGGCGAGGGGTTTGTCTTGATAGAATGGTCGGACTTTCCTTGCCGGGCAGTCCCTGAAAGCCCTGTGCAACTGGATTTCACTTGAGGGGGTTTCGTGATCTTCATAAGCTGGATCTTCCATGGCGCCCAAAGCAACAAGGTCCTCCGGTATGAATAGGTGCGAGCTACTTCGCTGCCACGGAACTCCAACGCCGTCAAGCACCGTCTGGCGTTGTTGAGGCAAGTCGAAGCTCAAGGAGAAAGGGGCCGGATCTAGGAGTTGGCTCTGAAGACTAAGCTCAGAGTCTACAGCAATCTCTACAGTCTCTGTCGATAAGAGATTCGTCCAGTCCATTGATGGTTCCCGGTCGGGAAGCGAGTGGTCCTCCGGAAGCAAGCTTACTTGCTCGCCCGCGGCGCGAACCTGTGACTCCGTGCCAATGGGCAACTGAACAAGCGTTCCGTGAAGACTACGGTCAGTGATTGACTGGACCGGACGTAAAGACCTGTATCCAGCTGATTGCTTCGGTACGTGGTCGTATCTGCACCTCAAATCCCTTTCCTCGCACCGCCGGCATGGTGTTCCGAGCGAACACCGCGCTTTACTGGTTCGGCATAGAACGCAAGATTTCTTTCGACTGGTAGCCAACGTCATCTCGAAGGAAACTTCAAAGACATGAATTGTCTGGACCAGTAGGCAGAAAGATGAGATCAAACTGCACGGAGAATCGAAGTTCAGCTTGACCTGGTTCATAGCGGCGGTTTGTCATCACTCCGCGGAGTTCCAGCCAATCAGTGATGACCGGCTCGCCAAGTCCGGAAGCCACCCCACTACGCCGCTCCGCGGGACGGATGATGCTATTACGGGCGCAATCTAAAGTTCGACTGAGAGACTTCTTGGGTTGAAGCGGCATCTTAGCCCAGTAACAGTATGAAGCCACACATACGCATGTTCGGAATTCCGTCGAATCGGAGATTTCAGTTGTGAAGCAGGCGTTGGATCAACTGCATCATGCCCGCCGGTGGCCGCTTATACGAGCCGGTAGATGTCATTGACAGACTACCTGGTTGAAGGTCAATGAGCTCCTAGAAGATATAAAGAATGATGCCTTGAGAGCCGAATTGCGTTTTAAAAACATCATTGCAATCTCAACCGTCATCATATGCTGAATAGAAGACTTACAATAAACTCATACTAATCTTTCACTTCACCCAAACCCCTGAACAGCAGTCATGGCTCCCATCAGAGTAGGCATCATCGGACTCTCCGCAAAGGAGGCAGTAATGGGCCCAGGCGCCTGGGGCTCCATCGCAATTCTACCCTCCTTCAAGAACTCCCCAGACTACGAGATCGTCGCCCTCTGCAACTCCTCCACGGAAGCAGCCCGCCGCTCCATCGAGATGCACAAGCTCCCGAGCACGACCAAAGCCTACGGCAACGTCGAACAGCTAGCCAGCGACCCGGACGTCGACCTCGTCGTTGTCAGCGTCGTCGTGACCAAGCACCTCGCAGTCACCCTCCCCGCGCTCGCCAACAAGAAGCAAGTCTTTGTCGAGTGGCCTCTTGGTGCTTCAGCCCAGGAGGCGGAACAGCTTACCCAGCTGGCCAAGTCGGGCGGGCTCAAGACCATTGTCGGTCTGCAGGGTCGCTCTGACGCTCTGGCTCTCAAGCTGAGGGAGATTGTGAAGAGTGGAGAGATTGGTGATATCAAGCACACTTCTGTCGTCGGCACTCTCCCGTATTTTCCTCCCAGCTTCTGGGTCGAGGGCGCGGAGTACTACCTCGATATTAAAACCGGAGGTAACGCATTCCACATCGGCTTTGGGCATTGTAAGTCAATCTCTTCTTGTTCTGAGGTCTTGGTAAAGCTGATAATTTCAATGGCTAATCTTTCTGGAACACAGTCCTGGACTCATTCACAAACGTTGTTGGCGACTTCGATCTCAGCAGCCTGTCTTCAGTTCTCAAGAGCGACGTTGACACCGTAGCCCTGTACAAAGCCGACAGAAGTAGCGTGATAGACCCAGCGTACCCAAAGTCCTCCCCCGACCACATCTTGGTTCAAGGGAGGCTGCAAAACGGGGCACTGGCCTCGATTACTTGCCGAACCACCCCGGTCACGGTCGATGAGGTCGGTGCTCGCTGGATCATCAGCGGTACCAAGGGGGAAATCGAGGCCGTCTGGGATGGAGGTCAGTGGCAGGTTCACAGCCCCAGCAAGAAGCTCAAGTACAAGTTGGTCGGAGGGGAAGAGCAAAAGGTCACTCTCGAGACCGGCAAGCTCCCTGGTGGAGTTGAGGTTTCGACCGCGGGACTGAACACGGCCCTCATTTTTGATGCCTACGCCACAGGCGATACTTCGCGGTATGCGGACTTTGAGACGGCTCTGAAGAATCATGTTTTGTTGGAGGAGATTTTGAAGAAGTCGGGGTACAAGTATTGAGAAGCATGCTGCTCAACTTGAACCTAGCATGTGGTAGATGCACGACAGTAGGTAGTCCATAAGCGCCTAAACATCAATGCGATGGTCTCAGATTGTTCTCCTCTCATAGATACTGTCTCGTAGATACTATTCAACTTTGAATTGAGATCTTTCATCTTTCACGTCGTGCGTCGCGAGTGATTCCCAGACCAGCCGTCGTTGGACCGCAGAAAAAGTTCGGCCCCGAGGCCGACGCCGGCGTTGACGCCCGAAACGTGGATACCATGACAAATCTCCTCCGAAGATCTGACTCGGAGCAACTGCCGAGATTTCTCGATTTCATTCACAGCGGCCAACAAATCACGATTAGGATATTTTTTTCTACTTGCAACTCCGATTGAAGGTGATTGCATTTGCTCGTTCCGTAGGAGATCAAGTTCAAGCAACACAAACGTCTACCACCCGAAATGAAAGAAGACTTGCAAGGTCAGCCCTACGTCCCCAAAAACACAAAGTTCGTAGACTTACCCCCAAAACAGGATCCGGGGGCGCGATCGCCGGTGCGCCTGAAGGAGCAACAACTCCAAAGGCAGACAAAGTCAAACACATCGCCATCCTAGACACCGACGTAATGGTCACAGCCGTCCAAACCCTCTACGGACAATACTACAGCGCCCAATACATCAAACGCCTCACTGCCGCCGCAACCCGCATCGCAGCCTCCCACCTCGCCACATTCACGACCTGGGACGTCGTCGCAGGCCACTACCCCAACCCGGCAGACGTCGACGCCATCCTCATCACGGGCTCCATCGCCGCCGCCTACGACACGGACCCCTGGGTCCTCCGCCTCGGCGACTTTATCCGGCGCGTCTACGAGCACCACCCGGACGTCCGCATCTTTGGCACCTGCTTCGGCCACCAGCTCATCGGCAAAGTCCTCCTCGAGCCCCACGGCCCCGTCGTGGAAAAGGACCCCAACGGCTACGAGTTTGGCGTCCAGACCATCTCGTTGAACCCGAAACTCGTAGAGGACTTTCCCTGCCTGGCCGCCCTTGCGCCCGCGACAACGACACCGACAACAGACGCAAACCAGGACTCAGACTCTCCTTCTTCTTCACCACCCCCTCACGGTCTCCGGCTACAAATGTGCCACGGCGACCACGTAGCCCTCGCCCCGCCACCGAATCCCCCTCTCCCAGGAACCTGGCAAAACATCGGCGGCAGCGCGCACTGCAGAGTCCAGGGCCTCTACGAGCCCTCCCGGGTCCTCACGATCCAGCCCCATTTCGAGTGCGACCAGGTCATCATGGAAGAGACCATTAAGCACTTTTACACGCCCGCCAAGGGCTTCTCTCCAGAGTTTTTGCAGCGGGCGTTCGATGCGACGAGGAGAGAGGACGACGCGGGGGTTGCTGCGGAGTGGGTGTTTCGATTCTTGGTTGGGATCTGATGTCCCCCCCGGGGGTTTACCCTTCACTCTCATAGACTTAATTAAAAGAATCAAAAGAACTGGTTATATCACGAGCGGCGGTTGACAAATCCCATTCACAGATGCGGCCTCAGTTGTCTCGTCCGGAACGCATAACTGTTCCCATAAACAACAAACTCCCCAGGGTCATGGCACATTTCTTGCAGCCTTGAATGGCTCTTATTCCTGTAGCATTTGATTTCTGCCAAGGACCTTCACGAGTAAGTATGATGAGACGTGAACTGGCACTGGTCTCCCGCATTTCTAGGCCCCCTTCCGAATGGACTCAATCACATACGACCATATCCATTGGAATATTCGGGATCCCGTCCGCTCTCCCCTAGACAAGCCAATGAGAGCCGGATTAGTAGTTGGGTCGGTGACGACCAGCGAATACCTGGTGTTGTATGTTTATTGTTTTTGGCTCGGCTCCCTTTGCTGAATTGAGGAGATTTGGTGGGACACCTCTTTTTGCTATCCAGATCCCGTCTTCACTGGAAGCACATTCAGAGACATAAACGGAGTCCAACTTCAGAAAATTGGACAGGCACTAAAAGCAATGCAAAGCCCCAGACTCAAGGGCATGAATCAATAGATTTGTTTTCTTGTAAATATGAGGCCGCCCTTGATACCAGGAGACGGGAGTGGTAGGTAGAGTCCAGGGATCGTGTACCTACGCTGAGCCAAGAGGAGACCAGCGGAATTGAATAGAGCTTCAATTGCTGATCGGACTTCACCTGATGCGCCGTCTCCTGCGTAGTTTATTACGTTTTCTAGTGCCTGTCTCAGTCACTATGTCACCGCTTTTCTGGCGGCCGGCATTAAAGTTTTCGAGAAAAAGACCTTTCCAGCTTTCCCCCTCTTTTTGATTCGTGAGAACATGTCTTAAGTCGCTTCCTGTGACGGGATAGGGAACCCGAAACTTCAGGAAGTCGCGTAGAGCCCGAAAGTCCTTTCGCCCCCGGCTTGCGAATTGCGCGGCGACTTGCTCAATACGGAGCAAATGGAGTTGGCGCTCATCCCCTTCCCTAGAGGTCAGAGTTAATCAGCTGTCCCTTTCAAATTCCGGAATGGGGTGCGTGTTGTGTCCATAGGAAGACGCCTCTCATATATTGCACCTCCTCATGGATATAACACCCAGTGTCCCTAGCACTTACAGCTTATATAGGCCATCTGCATTTTGTGGTCTCATCAGACCGTGGAGGTCCCGAATAGAATGCGCTTTCGCGAATATCAACCAGGATTGAATCCGGGGATGTTCAGCAATCCGCGCCAAAGAGTTGAATTCCACAGCAAGTACTTCGTTGTTTGGAATGGCTCTGTGTAAAGCTCTGTGGCAGGGTCGGCAAAGTTGCAGCAACTCGTTCATCTCTTCAATGGTGAATCGGTCGCGATCACGTTGAGTTCGCGGAATGACATGGTGTCTTGTGATTTCATGAGTCTTACGCTCACAGAGGTCACAAAACCCCGGGGCTATATTGCCTTCATCCACGTGTGTAACAAGTACTTTCAGCCAGTAGAGCCAATTCCGGATAAATTTCACTTCATTGTGGTGTTCAACTGTTTCCGTAGACAGTTCTTCTAGGATATAGTCGAAATCCCGTAAGGCTTCCTTGGCTATATTAGAAGGGTGACTTTGTTTCATTGCCTGGAAATTAGCATATCTTTCCATGAGACGTTCTTCGGGGCTAGGTCCTCCTGCGCCAAGTTCTTTTATACGGCGTTCTAGTATGCGAAATTCTGCAGCGCGACGTTCATCTGCTTGACGTGCTTTTTCGTGAGCGCGACGTTCTTCTTCGCGGAGTTCTTTCACACGCTTTTCTGCATTGCAAAGTTTTCTCATGTGAAGCTCTTCTGTGCGGCGTTCTTGCTCTTTTATGCGGCGTTCTTCTGCGCGACGCTCTCCCACGTATTCTTTTATACGGCGTTGTTCCGTGAGACGTTGTATTGCGTAGCGCTCTTCTGCGAGACGTTTCTCTGCGCGGACGGTGTCCTGTGAATGACACGTTTGCGCTTCCTCGATGGCAGCATGCTCATGCTCATTGACGTCCCAAGGCAACGGCCCCACAGGCTCCTGGAGCATGGCGGCTAATGCTTGCTCTCTGGACACTATCATCATATCCTCTTGAACCGCTGGCTCGTGTCGGCCTGGCTGTATCTTTGTTGATGAGTCTTCAAAGTCTTCTTCGCTCGGGTTGGGCCCGGGTGCTTTCATAACCAGAACTCCCCTCTCGCGCGACAGTCTATCGATGAGGGCGGCGGCTTCTGCCTGGGTGATGAATCCGGATCGAGCGCGGGCCTTGGGAGCCGGGGTGACTTTGGCTGGCGAGGCATCGAGTTCGTGGGGGTTTGAGATCGGCGGCAGGATTTCCTCATGAGTTTTTGGTGTTGGTTCGGGGTGTACTTTAGAACCGGAAGTAGCGTCGTGACCAGGAGAAAGGCAAGCGGGTGGTGGAGGTGCATCTGCTTCCTCTTCATTGCCTGTCGTCCTGGCGATTTCAGGATCGTCCCTCTCAACGTCTTCGAAAACTGGTCCCCAGCTCCTAGTTCCCGTTCCCGCGGCCCTCTTGGGGCCGCCTCTCCGAGATTTGATGCTGGTTGCCGCCCTGGCCCTTGCTTTTTCTCGTTTGTTGATTGAAGTAGATGCTGCGTTCGGTTGATGTTGTGTGCTTGATGTGACAGGACGTTCTGTTGAAAGACGGTTCAGTTGACCGTCTTCTTGAAGAGACCCCGAGTCCAAGGCATATGCTTGGTGGCCATCGGCCTTCTTCATCTCGCTTTCCATCGCCTTGGCTTCCGTCTCTTGTGCTTTAACCTCCTCTGACATCTCGCCAACATCCCTGGACAATGAAGTCTCCAGACTCAAGTTCACACTTCCCTCGACGACAGGGTCGAGGTCGAAGTCGGCGAGAAGACTCGGCCCATATTCATCGTCCATAACCAGCCTCTCACCCCCTTCAGGGAGGGAAACCAAAGACTCCTCGTCCTCAACTTCCCCAGAAGCCGCCACACCCTGCTCCTGATGAAATCCGCCCCATTTCCCAGCCCTCTCGTGTGCCGGAAGCGAAGTACGCTTCCACCGCGGTGCCGGCGCCCCAGCTCTTGCCCTCGGCTTCTCCAGTGGCTTTAACAGCGGCTTCGGCTTGGGTGGTGGATTGGGATCAGGGGCCGGGCCGTGGACCTGTAGCGAATGAAAGGCGCCCCATTGCGCTGATGCTGGTGGTGACGGGCTCTGATTCGCGCTTTTGCGTTGAGCTTTTCTTGTTGGCGCTGCTGCTGTTGTCGTCTTCATCTTTGAGGATGGTGTCGAGCCAGAGGCGGTCCCTTTACCGCTTGTCGGCGTAGGGTCCTTCTTGACGACCTTTGGAATTGGCCTGGCTTTAGCGATTTGGCTACCAAAGGAGCCCCAGGCTGACGAGGCCTCTGGCTTTTCCGGTGGTTTATATGATGCCGCTTGAGGATCAGAGGCTCTAGATTGGTTGGCTCCGTTGCTGTGCTCGACGATGACGGGGGGACCACCAGACAGCGTCAAACGGGAGTGCGGCGCGCCCTCATCTGATTGCCGAGATGCCTCTGCACCACAAAGGGAACAGGAACACGTGAAGAACCGGACAGATAAGCCATGATTTGATTGAATCTGATCCAATAGTCAGCAATTATTCACTTTTATGTGCTTGAGGCTTCTCAATGGCTCGATAATGAGCCAGCATACCTGTTCGGCGCGTACCAGGCCTCGTGACGTGATGGATCGGGCCACCGTTGACAAGATGTGCATCTTTACCGGATTGGCAGCGGTTCAACGAAAACCACCGGCTGCACGCATCGAGAAATAAAGCAACTGAGCCGCCGTGCGCGATGTACAGGAAGTTTGGCTTGTTGAACGGTATTCATATGGCAATTTCTGATTTGCGTGTCATCGGTAAATCGCCGTCACAGTTAGTTGTTGTCCGATGCACGGTGTTCGTACTGTGTTCGCCCTCAGGCATTAAATTAAGTCTCAACCCCTGATCTTCAATGACATCGAATGAGTGACGGTAACGCAGCAGCATGGCTTCCAAGAAATCAGCAAGACCATGAGCTTCAGTTCGGCTCAAATCAATTTGACAAGCTTCATCTTACAAGTTACAGCACAATCCTTAAGGCTCTGCTTGACATCCGCCAGCCACTGTACAAAGTGTAGTCTCGAACTAAGCAACCCAACAACGCGGTTGCACCCCCGATCATCAAAAGAGAAGTTTACAGCTTCTCAGGTGAACCAATGGTATTATACATCTGAAAACTTTCTGGGTGCCTTTCCATTTACAGCGTCATCATCAAACTCCATCCTAATCCCATTCCCAAATGCCGTCCTTTGTCTGACTACCTGTGAGGCAACGTCCGCTCATGCTTGCGCTTGACACCCGCGACACGTCCAATGCGATCCTAGTACACGGGCGTATTGTCCGCGTCGGCCAGCCACAAGGACGCCAAGTCCCTCGAAAGACCCAATCGAAGTATGCGAAGCACGTCGTCGGCCGACGCGCCCGCCGTGAGTCCCGATCTCCAGTCCCAGCCGCGCTTTGTCTTGGCGAGGGAGGAACCACTGCCGCTGCCGCTGCCGCCGCTGATGGATCGGTGAAGTTGGCTGGCTAGCATGGAGCTTCCACTGAGCATGTAGCTGCTTCCGCTGAGCGAGCTGGTGCTCTTGCGCATCAAGTCCGCAGGCGTGGAGCCCTTCATTCCTGGTGTCGAGGCCAGGACAAGCTTGAAGAACTCGTCTGCTGCGTTGAAGATGGTGGAGTTGACTGTCTGAATGTCCTCAACAGCCTTGAGGAGCGCGTCCATCTGGTCGAGCGTAATGACTGAGGGGTTTTGGTTGGCAAACGGCAAGGCCTCGCCCAAGAGAGCGAGAATGAAGTCCTCGCTAACAACGGCGTCGCGGGTTTCATCGTAAAGGCCTCCCCGAATGTTGTCATCTGAGCTAGCGATGACAGCAACAAGGGCGGAGGCAGCTTGTTTCCGGAGAGTGGCAGACTTGTAAGGGGACATATCCGCGAGTCCGTCAGTGTCACGAAGCTCGTAGAATTTCCGGAGCGTAGCGTAACCACTGAGCATCCGCCCGAGAAGGTTCGCTGCCTCAAGATCTTGCTTGGCATACTTCTCGAGGGTTTGACTGCGCTCGTTCAGAAGTCGGTAGAGGTGGTCGTCCAGGTCGTTGGCAGGGGGGTAGACCGTGGAGTGGAGCAAAGAGTATGATATGAGAAGGTTGAGCACCTCGCGGACCTTTCCTGGTCTATGGGCCAGGGCGTAGTACCAAAGAGCCTCTCCGTATCTGTGAGAGTCTTTGCCGAGAATGTCTGCATAGGTCTGGTAATTGGTTAGCGCGGTGAAAAACAGGATTCGGCAAATTCTGTACATACCTCTGCGGTCTCTTCGGCATAGGAAATCATGCCGAGATCGTTGAGAATCCTCCAGACCTTATCTACAGTGGCTCCTTGTTCAGAATCGAGCTGGTCTAGGATATCCCGAAGCAATTCTCCGACCATGTCCTCTGATTTCGCAGCTGAATCCATCCGGCCAAGGACCTGTATCGCCATCTCCCATCCGCTGCGATCTTCCGAAAGACTCTCGATTCCGGCCAGTTCGCGTGCGTAATGTGTAAGCGTAGTGTCTTTGATGCCCTCTACATCGTCGGCAGTCTGAGGAGCCACTCCCAACATCTCCAGATCCTCCATGTCCAGGCTCTCCATCGTAATCAGGTTGGGCTGCTCGGGCTTAGGTAGCCACTGACCAAGAGAGGCAAGTTCTGCCACCGAGGAAGCAATGGGAAGTGACCATGCACGAAGGATTCCGATGACAGCCGCAAAGTTTGACTCAAAAGCAGAAGCGATGGCAACCTCAACAGGGTTCATGGAGTTGAAGTGGAAGTCCGACTCAACCGCAGTATGGAAAGCCAGCGACAGGCGTTCAAAGTAGCTCTCAGGGGTGGCAGGCGTAGCTGTCATGCGGAGGCCACGGGAGCGGGACATGCGCAGGCTCTTCTGCTGTCCTCTGCCTTCCTCCCACCATCCAAAGAGACCAATCGTGGCTTCACACCAGTCCTGTGCTGTATCCAGGATAGCCTCTGGCGTTCCCATGATGATCTGGTAAATAGTCTGGAGGTGTTCGTAGATGTCCCATGGAACCTGGCCCTCAGCTTTCCGCACGAGGCCGGCCAAGGAACCCCTCCCGTATGAGCTGTCGTCACTATCGCCAGCGAAGAGGTTCTTGTCCTTGCCCTCAGCAAACCGTTGAAGCTTGTCTAGTGAGCCCTTTGTCTGGATGCGGTATAAGGTCCAGTCGCTGCTGAAGATATCCCAGTTGCCCTTGGTGATTGGGCACATGTCGAGTGCCTCGCACGCAATACCGACGGCGCGTTGCAGATTGTCGAGAGCTTTGCCAGAGTACGCAAAATCAGCCCGAGGACCCTTCTTGACAGACTCCCATCCAGCATTCCTCAATAATTTGGACGCAAGTTCGACATTGCCACGGATGAGAGCGCTTCGCAGTGTCGGCCAGAAGAGGCTGTGGCACGCCGGGCTCGGCCTGTGGTTCATGACGATTTCGTACTGCTCGGGGTAGATGTTGTGGTTTTCCTCGATCCATCGGAACAGAACATAAGGCAGTGGCGGCGCTTCGGTATCGACGGTGCCTTGGTTTGCGAAACGAGTGTGGTGCATCTGAAGCACTAGCTGGGCAACATAGGCAGCCTTCGTGAACGGCTCGCTTTCGGGACCGGGGCCAATCTCGGCAATGTGCTCTCCCTCCGGCATGGGTAAACTGTCGGCAAAGTCGTTCCAGAGGTCCACCAGAGGATAGACAATGTTGGCGAGCGAGACGTCGAGCTGATCGGGGTCCTCCTGCGCACCGATTCCCTCGTTGTAAAGCTGGTTGATCAGGTCTTCCGTCTTCAAGACAACGCCTGACGACTCGTTGATTTGAGCCATGCCGAGTTCCTTGTACAGGTCCTTTGCGATTGCGGAGAACTTAAATTCTGTCCGTCTATTGCCCGATGAGCGACGCATGGACGAGGCACGGAAAATATCCTGGGCTTCCCTGCGCATTCGCTCCGTTGCCGCTGGCGTATTGAGCAGTAAAAGATCCGACTCTTCGCCGCCTATGCCGCCTTCGCCCTCATCTGAGTAGGCCAGATCCTCGTGGTTGCGGGTGCTGTGCCGCATGTTCAAGAATATGTCGTCATCGTCCTGGACCTCTTCGTCGTCCGCCTCGGCATCCCCGTCTTCATCCCCAATATCGGCTTCGAGGTATCGCTCCATCTCCGCGTCGGCGACATCGCGCTCGTCGTACTCCTCATCCTCGTCCTCTTCCTCTTCCTCCGAGCTGTCGGGTATCATATACCTGCCATTCCGGTTATCGTAGGTGATGTCGCTCTTTCCCGCGCCAAGTTCCCGGCTCAGTGCCGATGGCTGTCTCGTCGTGGGTTTGGTGCTCTGCAGAATCGACCGGCCGAGTGGTTGCGCCGAGGCAGAGTCGCTTCTTCCAAAGAGGTTCTTGCTAGGCCCATTTGAACTGGCACCGCCGAAGCCAAAGGGCTTCTGCGCAGTGACGCCTTGCAACAAGGAGCTTCCGAGATAAGACTCGGAGGGAGCACCTTGGGGTGTGAAGGAAGCAGCGGACGAGGGTGGAGGGCCGGCTGGCGTCGTTGATGGGTTTTCGCCGAAGGGATGGTATGACTTCTTCTGCGGAGTTTGACCGGGCGTCGACGGCGGTGAGCTATCGAAGGCTGAGTCGTCGAAGGAGAACTTGTTGGGCATGATGTCGGTGATGGAGTGGGCGACCTCAGGTCACCCGGATGAGGCTAGTCGTCGCAAAGTTGTGTTGATCGGCGGAAGCAAGGTTGTCAGGTATTCAGGAGTGCAAAATTTCGATGCGTCGATTTCGTTAAATCTGCGAAGGTCGTCGAGGCTAATTGGGGTTACTGGTAGGTCGCAGGCGACAAGGCTGAGGAGCTGGGTGGTGGTGGTGTTTGGGCGGACGCGCTTCTGGTCGATAATTTTTGGAGGTTCGCGATGCTTCGCCAGTCAACGCGGAAGAAGCCGACTTCTTGGCCCCACCACCGCACTGGATCTGTCGAGCTCCACTCGTTCTGTGTTTTTAGGAGTGGCCCGAGCTCCCTGGCCCGGTCTCCCTGGCCCGGTGCCGCTGACACATCAACGGGGCCTCGGGGGTGAAGGTGCCTTTGAGAAGAACCATGGATGAGTAACAAAGCGATATTCCAGGCGTTCTGAAGCAAGCATCCGAGCATCACTCCTTTGTCACCTTGTAGGAGAATTCTTTTAGGTTCAGACGTCTCCTCCACAGCCATGCGACTGTGATGCCATTGTGATGTCTCTTTTTCCGGGGGTAAACACACACCATTGAAACCATGAGCCTTGGTTCCCCCTCTTTTGGCTGTCAATCTGTTCTACCATGTGTTCCCATACTCTTCCAGTCGATTTTTCGATTAGGTATCTTTACTTGAGACGATTGTTCATCCATTCTTTTTGACTTGTATCTCCCTTCAACAAGTACCTATCCGCGGGCAACTAGTGTCTCTTTTATCTTATCTAAGCCGCCCCGGAGCTCCCCTCGTCTTCCTCCGTGTCACGGCGTTCTAGCCCGGCATGCCGATTAGATAGGGTAGAGCAGCCAAAGGCAGTAAGAAAACTGAATCGAGCCTCCAGGCCCGGACATAAATCGGGCTCTGGACGTACGGGCCTACGAAAAGCGCTGTACGAAGTACTCCTCAACGCCCTCTTGGCAACCACGGAAAGTCATCCCCCAGAAGGCGGGCAG